CAAATTTTGCTGAAATTAGAGTCAATTGTTTGTACTTATACAACAATTTTAATCAGACCTAATAGCATTTAAGATGGGTTCATGCCTTTCTAACATACTGAAGCATAGCGAGGTTAAGTTACTTACCCATGGTATCACATTGCTGCCAGCAGTGAATTAGAAATAGACCCAATACTCTAGCTCCTGATACTCTTACCACTACAGAACACAGCCTCCGTACCGAGTTGTCACAAGACATGCATCTTGCAAGAAAACAGCAGCCGGAGTTCATAGACTTTGATAGGTGTTTAGGCCAATAAGATTCACAAGCTCAAATTTTGTTCCTTATACTTCATAGAAAGTTACCAATAGATTCATCCCAGAATGAATCATTTTCCTAATGACTTGGAAAGAGTTTGTTAATGGTCTATTCTTAGGCATTTGTTCTGCATGGTTTCAAACTGGGACAAAAGTGAAGTAAAAGACTGAATGCTTTCATAAGAAAATAAGAATATGGCTATACTGGGTCAGACCCATGGTCCATCTAGCCCAGAATCCAGTCTTGCAATAGTGGCCAGATGCTTTAGAGGAAATGAACAGAACAGAGCAATTTCTGAGTGATCCATCTTCCCCTGTTATCGAGTTCTAGTTTATGGCTGTCAGAGACTGAGGGATACCCAAAGCATAGGGTTGCATCCCTGACCATCTTGGCTAATAGCTATTGATGAACCTATCCTCCACAAACTTCTCCACTTTTGTCTTTAAACCCAGTTATACTTGTGGCCTTCACAACATCCCACTACTTCCACAGGTTGACTGTGCGTTGTGTGACGTTTCCAAGCAGTTTGCAGGTGTGTTTCAATCTTGTGACTCTTCCTTTATAGTTTCTGTTTAACTAGCTTCACATTTTTGTGTAGTTCCCCTTTTTGGAGTTAAATGCGACTGAGATGGGCATCTTTGGTATTTGCCCTGTTAGAAGGATGTTAAATTTAATTACATTATGTTCGCTATTACTAAGCATTTCAGTCATATTCACCTCTTGGACCAGATCCTGTGAGCCACTTAGAACTAATTCAACAATTGCCTCTCCCCTAAATCATGAATTGCACTGTCAATGCTTTTATTATGTCTTTAAGATGAACCATCACCTGGTTCTCAAACTTAAAGGTGAGCAACATCTGAGCATCTAACTAGGTATTTGTCAAGAAAGAAATAAACCTGATTGCTGCCTCCTATCATATTCATATTAACATATTTCAAACTACTACTAATTCCACCCCCAATCATTTAAATATCTAAATTTGTCATTAACAAGCAACTTTTAGAAGTATTTACTTTTTACCATTTTTCACATTACGCAAGGTGACAAATACAATACACTGGTCAGTGTCCTCTGGGCTTCTAATACACTGTTACTAGTACAATGTTTGGGTTAAAAACATGAGCGCATTTAAATTTTTCTTCTTTTTTGCTAAAGCTTAAAGACTCAAAAAATTCTATATATTTTGGGGTTTTGTACAACCACTTAAAAATACAAGACCTAGACGTGAGGCCTATAACTAGTTGAGAGTTTCCCTTTAAATGAAGTTTTCAGCTATCTAAAGCGATTTTGTAAGTTACTAGTCACAATACTACCTTCAGGAACACAAGGATTCAGGCTTTGGTTGCGGTCACCAATTTTTATTTTGTCCCCAAAAAAGAACATCTATTTTAATTAAATGGAAACTAAGGGCAGAATGGAACTTGAGAACAACGATATTAGGGACTTGGGTGAATAAATAAATAGTGACAAGCTGAAAAACCAGTTACACAGCATAAAACCAAGTTGATCGTCTTATAGCCAGACCTCCATCTTCAAGTAGCAAATGGAGCTTAGGATCTCCATACAGGATAGATATTTGAGAAATGACAAACTATTGTATCACCTCTGATTAAGCCAACTGGCAATTACACAATAACTGAAAAAAATTCTGAGTTCTACATCTCTTAGGATTTTACCAGCACAGTGTGTTACTTTTTAAATTAAAAATGGGCTCCTAGGTAACTGTAACCTAATCACTGCACCATCATCAAAAAGATAACAGGGGCAAGCAGAGAGATTAGCCTGTGGAAAGTTAGCACAGCAGCTGTTCAAAGCAATAAGACTCCATGAACAAGAGAACCATAAGGACTCCAATTTTGGGTACTCCACCAACTATCAGACAAAAATAACAGCCTGAGACATCAGCTGGATTGCTGCAGTGCAGGCTGCCAAATTACTTTGATTTTTTTTTCCAGTTTAAATGAAAGCGCTGAAGCCAGCTAAAATACTGAATACAGACACCTGGATACAATGTCAAAAGCCTTGTCATTAGGAGGACTTCCCACACACAGGAATGAAAAAGGAAATAAATAAAGGATTGCAATCAACTGATCAGCACACAGCACTAAAGGGAAGAACTATTAGTTGAAACACACTGAACAATGGACTATGAACATAACTTTACTCCTAAGCTTGATTCTGCATTTTGAAAAAAAAAAAAAAGAGGAAAAAAAAGGTAAAATTCAACCCGACACCAGTGACTGGCAGTACTAATCCGCACCCTGGATTTAGCGGCTGTATTCAGTCAGTGACCCCACAGCTGCCAAGCCTCTGCATTCTCTGTCTCCTGCCCCCTCCCTCCCGATTTAGTTCCTAGAGGATTGTTCGTTCATCATCCCAATATGGCTGCCCTGGTAATTACGCTGTTCTGAATGCAGACGATGCAAGCACTATGGATGGGTCCCAAAACGCAGTAAATCCCCTTCCCTTCTGGTCCTCTCCCCCACCCCCACCCCCTTCCTCAGCAGATGCTCTGGGACCTTCCTTCACTCACAACCCTGGGGGGAGCAAATACAGCCTCCCCCCAGGCAGCCCGGAAGATGAGGATGCAGAGTTGCGGCTCGAGCCGCACTTTGGGGAGAAGAGAGGATCTGGGGACCGGGGAGACAGCAGAGGCTCTGGCACCGAGCGTCTCCCGGGGGAAAGGGGAGACTGGGGCGCCGGGTCTGGCCGGCGCAGCAGGGAGGAGGAAAGGCTGCAAGCGAGCTCCACGCCCTTGGGCCGCTGCACTGACAGCTCCGCGGAATCTCCCCTGCCAGCAAAGCTCCAGGACCAGCGTCCCCTGCCAGAGGCGCCGGGGGCTCCCCCGAACCCCGGCCAACGCTACCAGCGGCCCCCGCCCCCGGGGAAACAAGCGGCCCCCGCCCATCCCCGCCGCATTATGGCGCCTACTTCCCCCCCCCCGACCTAGACTCTCCCCCCCCCCCGCCGCCTAGCGACCCCCCCCCCGGGCGGCTTCCCGGTCCCCGGGCTGTTCCCCCCGGCCACGGGCGGCTTCCCCATCGCCCCCAGGGGCTCCCGTCAGCGCTCACCTCGGGGCGGGGCCGCAGGCCGCGGACAATGGGGGTCCAGCGGGGTCCGCGGCGCGGTCAGCAGGAGGAGGCGGCGCCGGCGGAGACGCGCAGAAGCAGGGAAAGGAGGAGAAGAAAAGGTCCGCCCAGCCCCATCACGGTGCCCCGGGACAGGCACGGAGCCCAGGGCACCCCCGGATCGGGAGGGAGAAGGAACCCCCGAGAGGAGACAGCAGCAGCTGCGCGGCCTCGGAGCACCGCTGGCGAACTGACGGCGGCGATCCCTCAGCCCAGCAGCGCCCCGCCCCCATCACCGAGCAACGCCATCCGCCGCCAATCCCAGCGCGGCGACGCCCCTTCCCCCAATCCCAGCGCGGTGACCTAGGCTGAGCGCCCAATCACATCGCGCCACTCCTCCAATCACAGCCCGAAACAGAAGAATGGGCTCGTCCAACTCATGGGGGGGGAGGGAGAGAGGAGCTGCCTCCTTGACCAATCCCACTGCGAAACGGCGTTAAGAGTCCGCCCCTTCTTGTCTTTGGCCAATTAGCGTTCGAAAGAAATTATTCTCCTTTCCCCCCTCGCCTATGAAGATAAGCGAGGGGGCGTTTGCTCGTCCTCTCCCCCGCCCGGCTGCGGAAGTACACCGGCCCAGGCCTACGCCCTCTTGCGGCTGAGGCGGCGCTCGGTAGCAGTGGAGTACCGCCGCAGAGCCCAGGGCTAGGGAAGACCGAGGGAAAGAAGGGGGGTCGGCCGCGGTGGGGGAGAGGGAGCTGGGGGAGGGTCGGACGGCTGTCCCGGGGGAGGGGGCTGGGGAAGGGGGTGGGCGGCTGTCCAGGGGGAGGGGGGGCGGCTGTCCCGGGGGAGGGAGGGGGGAGGGTGGACGGCTGTCCCGGGAGAGGGAGCTGGGGAGGGGGCGGCTGTCCAGGGAAGGGAGGGGGGAGGGTCGGACGGCTGTCCTGGGAGAGGGAGCTGGGGAAGGGGGGGAGGGTCGGGCGGCTGTCCCGGGGGAGGGAGCTGGGGAGGGGGGGCGGCTGTCCAGGGAAGGGAGGGTCGGGCGGCTGTCCTGGGAGAGAAGAGCTGGAGAAGGGGGGGAGGGTCGGGCGGCTGTCCCGGGGGAGGGGGGCTGGGGAAGGGGGTGGGCGGCTGTCCCGGGGGAGGGGGCTGGGGAAGGGGGTGGGCGGCTGTCCCGGGGGAGGGGGGGGAGGCTGTCCAGGGAAGGGAGGGGGGGAGGAGGGTCGGACGGCTGTCCTGGGAGAGGGAGCTGGGGAAGGGGGGGAGGGTCGGGCGGCTGTCCCGGGGGAGGGAGCTGGGGAGGGGGGCGGCTGTCCAGGGAAGGGAGGGGGGAGGGTCGGACGGCTGTCCTGGGAGAGGGAGCTGGGGAAGGGGGGGAGGGTCGGGCGGCTGTCCCGGGGGAGGGAGCTGGGGAGGGGGGGCGGCTGTCCAGGGAAGGGAGGGTCGGGCGGCTGTCCTGGGAGAGAAGAGCTGGAGAAGGGGGGGAGGGTAGGGCGGCTGTCTCGGGGGAGGGAGCTGGGGAAGGGGGAGTTCGGGCGGCTGTCCTGGGGGAGGGAGGGTCGGGCGGCTGTCCCGGGGGGGGACAAGGGAAGGGGATTCAGGTCTGGGACCCTGCCTGGTAGAGCTGTGGCTTGAGGCCGAGTTCTGCCATGGCATCTGGTTTCAACACAACCCGCTGCCACCCCTAATTTAGGCTGCCCGCCCCATGATAAGGGTAATGAACTAGGGGGGCAGGCCACTTCCCCTGGGGGGGAAGTTCTCCTTCCCTGTCCCAGCCGCTGAGACTAACTCAGATTGTCTGGCAGCAGGCCCATCTCCATCACTCCAGGCCACAGCCCCAGTTTTTGCAGTCCCAGACAAAGCCCCGTCTCACAGCAAGATCAGGGTTTCTAATTGCACACTGGAGTAATGTTTTCTTGATCAGCTTCCTTGCTGAAGGGAAAAGAGCAGTCATAAAATCCTACATGATAGTTTGGGGGTTGCTGGTTGGCTGTTAAAAAGGAGGTACCACTCTGGCTGTGCTGGGCAAGGAGAAGGAAGAACTGCTCCCAGGCCAGCAAGAGAAGGATAGCTTCAATTCTGCTGTTAGCAAAGGAAGGGGAGCTGTTCTCCATCTCCTCTCCCCCACAAGCCCTTCTACCTTAACCCAAATCCTGGAAGAGTTATATGGAGAGAGGAGCTGTATTTTTAGGCCAGCTATTCATGACCCAGTCTCTTAGATATACCTATTGCCATCAGCATGGCCAACTCATGAGTCAGGTCCCCAAAATACTTGCTTGGCTCAAACTCATGAGATTTTAAAACCTAATACACTTTGGGTTCTTTGTATATGCCTTCTGGTTTTTGAGTCCTTAGGGTTCACATTTTCAGGCTTTTTTCTGTAACTATGAAGACTATAAATTTACTTTTAAAATTAAAGCTGAGAGTCTCACTTAGTCACATGACTCCAGAAGTTGTAGCTTTAATAAAAATATCAGCTATCCCAAGACTCACTAAAATCATGAGTTTACAAAACCTTAACATACTCTTTAGTGAGTCAAATAAATTACTAGTGTAACAGCATCTCCAAACTTATTTTAATGTAATTCCACATCAAGATTTAATTTGTTCAGTATGTTTACATACCGTATCTTCTTACATAGGTCAGTAATTTTACTCACAAATATGTATGTTACTCTGGACCCTGGGTAATCCTTAACATTTCATTTGTGTAAAAACTATAGATAAATGGAAAGAGGATACTTTTTTTTTTTTAACTGTAAGAAAGCAACATAAAAGGAGCTATGCACTTATTAGGTAGAAGGGAGAGAAGGGCTAGCTATAGTAGGCAGAGGCAAAATAATTGCTTTAGCACTGCAGCTGATTGTTTCTTCCAAATTTAAAGGGGCAGTTACCACACAGGCATGCTGGGAGAAGCTATAAAAGGATAAACGCAGTGATTCCTAGGCAGTCAGGCCCTTTGGAAGGTTTTTAACCTACAGCAGTGTGTGCGGGATTAGGCCCAATTAAAGTAAATTTCACGTACAGAAATATATTGTAGTCTTCTCTTTAGAAGGGCATTTTTGGGTACGAGACAGCTTGAGTTGTCTAGAGCTACAAACTGGCATCTTTACACATTCTCATGGCCATTTGTTTACCTGTGAAAGTTTAAATATTTTTTATAAATTTGTTGTGTAAACTAAAGTTATATTTGAGTGCTTTAAATATTCATGGTGTATGTCTTACTGCTTCATGCTAAAAATTGATCTGTAGTGACAATCTGCTCAAAAACTCTTTCTAGCTCTATATAGATTGGCCTATGCTACTTTAGGGAAAAATGAATTGGAAGGAGGAGAAAGCTCAACATACGCCCTTGAGCAAAGGCAATGAGTGAATTAATAAGAGGGAGGTAAAAACTCACAGTTCTTCCTTTGAGGGAAAGTACAGCGTTATGGATGGGAGAAATGGCACTTTTCTTGGCCCACCGAAATTGTCATTTAATCAACACTTTTAAAGAGCTGGTGTGAGGTTTTTAAACTATTCCAAATTTCCAGTCTGTAGTCCTGCTAAAGCTACACAGTTTTGAAGTATTAGGACAATGAAATCAGATCAGCCCAGGATACATTTGGTTGTCTGATTTGGCTTAAAATACAACTATCTTCATAGTCTGCTAATAAGGGCTTTCAGGGCAGTGCACTCCTTTCTTCCTGATACTTGGATAGACACAGACATATAAGTTATGTGGTTAATTGCCAGATATTTGCAGTGTAAGTGAATGCATGTATACCTATATCAAAATATAGAGAAAAATCTTGCATGCATGAATAAATTCTGGTTTTCTACCTGTTCCACAAAACTCCATTTACTAATTTAGTAAGCAAAGTGTCAAGATTTTGAATCCTAGCAGACCATGTCAAGTTCAATTTTTTCAGATCCGCTGTTGTCTGAGGTCATCCAATAATAAAGAATGATGAAGTCACAGATCTTTTTTTTTGGAACTGTCAGTAGGGAAGCCTGTGCTGTGCTGCGTGTGGCCATGAGGCTTTCTCTTGCTTCTGGTCCTCAGAGTGATTAACATGTAATACTCTGTTGTGTCAGAGGTGGCAGCATTTTGCACAAATAAGGCCAAAATATTCAAAAGTGGCAATTAGTTCTGGGTGCCTCAACTTTTGGTGCTCCATTTGAGACATGTTAGGTTCTGATATAAGGGCTAAGCACCTACAACTTCAAAAGGAGACATGGATTCTCATTACCCCTGAAAATCAGGCCCAAAGTGGCACATAAATCAGGGGGCACTCCTGAAAATGTTGATGTTAGTGTCTCTTCTGTTCAGTGTTGTATTCCTTGTTTTAGTTAGCGTTCTCCCCAGCCTGAGCTTGCTGCCAGACTTCCTTCAGGGTAGAAAAATAGTAGCTGCAGAAGAAAATTCTCATTCATGAACTGATAAAAACAATCATGTCAGATTCTACCACGAAAATAATAGGGAGGTCTGGAGCAATGTTAACTATGCAGGTCATCAATGTAAAACAAATGCATCCTGAAGGCAACTAAATTCAGTGAAAATGATTATTTGTACTTCCGATGAGCGAACTAGATGATATGCAAATGTCTGCTTCTTGCCTGTTTATCAGAGGTGAATAATAATTTTGCTGTATCTTTAACTCACTCTCTCTCTCTCCTTATTAATTGAAAAGGAAGAATTCACAATTGTGAAATACCTTCAGCCATAGAAATTATTTCCAGCTTCAACCTATGGCTTGTTATTCAGCACATGTGCAACGATACATATATGGCCTTCATTTTTTGGTGGCCATCAGGCTTTATTGTTCATCAAGGTAACTGTTTATTTACTAAGGTAAAACTAAGGTCAATATTTACCTATCGCATCAATAGGTCTTGATGTTCATTTTAGCAGACCTCAGAGTCTGCATATTGCTTTTGATAGTCTGTTCATCTTTCACAGATATTCTGATCACATTCCAATCCTTCAGCTTTCCAACTGCAAAATTTCATACCCCTTCCACAACTAAAACTTGAGTAGAGATTGAAATCCAGTCTCTCAGCATCATCCTAACACCGCAAATCTTCCTGCTGTCTTTGTATTTAAATCTTAGTTTTTGAAACTATATTTTAAATTAAGATTAAAGATTAAATCTCTTGTGTGGAGTGATATTACTCTGTATATCTGCTGGAGCTTTGAGGCTGCCTGCTTGTATTTCTCCAGGCCTTTGCTTGCAGCACTGTCCTTTTGGCAGAGATGAAATGGATGGGACTCCCTTGAGAACTGGATTTTCCTCCTGAGTTAACGGGAGGGGTTGCTGTTGAATGTTGCAAGGCAGTGTCTCTCACCACAATATCATAGACTTAAACTGAGCATTCCAGAACATAAACCAACAAACTGAAGAGTTGTACTATCGTGCTAGTCCTTTAGTAAGCACAATTTCTTTTGCAGATGTTTGATACCCAAGATTTCTATATCCAGTACAAGATTTATTTTTGTTCCTCTCAATCAGTGTTCAATATTTAGTTGTATTAATCTGAATTCCTTCTGACACCTTCTAAGAAGCTTGAAAATGGGGTGGGGGATTTTATTATTTAAGCCCTTTTCTATTTGGCAAACATTTATTTCCCTTCCCCCCCCCCCCATGTGTTTTTGGATGAAGTTGACATGAACATGTGTTTTTGTTTAGCAGCTACAATTTTAACTTGCATTCATAGTGATTCTTTGCATGGTAGCATGATTGTCAGTACAGATGTGGAAACCTTACTTGCTAGTTAAACATTGCTGCAGAACCTGCAAAGCAAGAACAAAAGGTGGTTTTATAGGTCTTATAAAATACCATTGTTATGGTTTTCAAGTTCTTGTTGATGAGAGTATTAGATTTAGAAGTAAACAAAGAATCTGGATAAATTATCCAGATTCTAAGCAAGATTGAATCTGGTGCTTAAAGAGTTTGACATTGCCTTCTTAAAAATCTTATCTTTAAAAGCCTACTATAAATTGTAAATGTTAGATATCTGTTTTGTTGTCACCGTATCCCACAGCTTTCCCTGGCAACAGCTGGAGGTGTTTAATTTCACTCAAAGATCCTGTGAACCATTTCTCTCTCCTGAATTGCAGTTCATGCATCATTTTTCTATAACAGACTTTTTTAATAATTAGGAACAACCTCATATCAGTTAATTTAGGTCTTAAAACCATGATTTAAAAAAATCCCAAGTTGTCATTTATAGGAATTTCTGTGCAGTGACAGATGGTCTCCAGACACATGGGCAGAAGAAGAAAGGGTCTTCAGGAGGCTCACCACTAAATTTCATACAAGTCTGTAAACTGAACAAATATAACCGTACCTAAGGATTGATTGCAGAAAGGAATAGCACAGTGTGCTCCTTGAGTGGGTGTTGGGCTAATCGCTTTTCTGTAAAGGATAAAAAGGATATTAGGAGGAGATACCTAGAGGCTTAAACTGTCTCCATATGGAGTGGCATTACATGCAGGTTCTTAGGTGTTTGTTTTTTCCTTTGTCAGTTACAAGGTATATAAAATACACTCTTTGTGTGAACTAAGTATGAGCTAGTTCACCTGATGGGTGAAACTGAATGGGCCAAAGTGGTCCCTGGTATAACTCCATTGAAGTAACTGAAGTTACGTCATGAATAAATTTCCCCCAACACTAACAAGCAAATTTTTTCTTTATTGCTTTAAACTTATAATTAGAAATGGATCTGAACAGAAACCCAGATCCAAACCACCTTGAAATTTAGGAGAGTCCAGAGCCAAACTTAATGACTAGCTCCTGTTCAACTAATGGAATGAACCAGAATTGCAGATTGACATATCCCCTTACTCCAAGCATGTTTTACTGTCTGTTTCAACACTGCAGCTTGACCCCATGTCAACTTGTAGGTAATTAGTGATTTTATGTTCTGACTGATATAACGTGGAGCAGTTATAGACAATACATAGTTAACGTAACTGACTCACACAGTGTCCATTCAAAATAACCCAGAACTTCCTAAACTACAAAACAACCATCCACACACCAGCTCTTTAAATGCTCTATGTAGGAACAGTCCTGAATACAAACGCAACAGAGTGACCTCAATGGATGCAGGTGAAATTTCTTACAATGCTCAGTAAAGTTGCATATCTAGGTGCAAGTGACCTGGAATCTGTTGGTCTAATAATTTGTCTCTGACCCTAAATCCCCATGCAATGTCATCTAAATTATCTGTGTAGTGCAGGAAATATACAAAATACTTTACAAAACAAACAACATTAGCAATATCACTCCCAAAAGCATATGCAGTCTTCTGATTCCAGTGTCCATCCCTTCTTTCACTCAGAGCACAAAACTCACTGTGGATAAAATTTACCCCTCTGTAAGGGGTCAGCATTAAGTATATGCATATGTCACCTGAACTCATGGCCTATGCACTAGATGAGTCCTACCGTCTCTTCTGAAGGACCCCATCTTTTGAAGGTTTAAGTGGGATTGAAGTGATGCATATGTATTGTGGTATCCCCCACATACAGGGATGAATTTCATCTGATTTGAATAGCAGAAGAGAAGGAAATTATCACTCTACTATGTCATCGCTGGAGACAGTTTGGTACAATAACATCGGCAAAAGCAGATTCAGCAATTACAGCAACGTGACTGGAAACAGGTAGAAAATAATGGAAGAGCTGTTGTAACAATCATTTCAAAGACGCTAAACATTGCATGCTCCCAAGGCAGTAAAACAATGACAGTAAAAAGCATCCAAACTGGGACTGCCAAAAATGTCTTGGCATAACACATTTCCAAGATGCCCTTAAAAATTAAAATCAGGAAAAACTGCTCTTTTTGGTGTATGTGACGCAGCATGAATCATCAGCCCTTCCTCTGTGTGTAAAAAAATTTAGATGAAAATGCAGCATGAAGGAATAAAAATAAAAAGCTCTGAGTACAGGAGAGAAAACATGTGTCCCCCATTCTGAGGATTTTGAGAGAGGTAAGTATTATTTCAGGGTTGTTTTGTTTTTTTTTTTAAATATCTTAGGTATAACTTCTCCATTTTCTACTATTTTTTCTCCTCTGATCTCTTCTTCCAGTGTATCAGTCTCTGTCAGCAACAATAACTTCCTCCAGACACACATGCGGTAAGAGGAGTCCAGTAACATGAGCCCTTTCAAAAGGTACTGGATTGATCCCATATTTTGTTTGAGGGCTGTATCTTGGTTGTTTTGGACAGTAATTGACTGAAGAATATGTTAGTTTCTGTATTGTTTTCAAAGAGATCAATTTTTCTGTTTTATGAATCCTATAATGACTGACCTGAGGAATTTTTTTGTGTGTGTGTCTTTTCTTCTATTAAGGGAGGCAAATAGAGGTTTCTTTAAATGAAAGGATGTATTTTAACATATGGGATTACAGTGTGTCCAAAATGTATACTAACTTCTTAAGATAGTATCTACACTACAGTTAAGACATTTGTCCCCTAACCTGGCTACAACACAGATTCGTTGTATAGTAGAGACACAATGCATCCAAAGCTTGAGCTTGATTACAGAACATCCCCATTACAAATTGTGATGGTTAACATATTTCTTTAATATCCAGTTAAGTGTATATGGTGTGTGACATAATTCCTGTTCAGAGGAACTTTGGGAGAGAGGGAGAAGCAGGGGAGAGGAGGGAAGGAAGGAGGAATATGTAGAATAAGGCTGAGGTTGTTTGCATAGTACAGCTGCAGTACCCTAGTTCTTAAGTTTTGGTTTATTTAGAATAACTTTTAAAATTGTTTAAAGGGATATAATTAGAGAATCAGTTTAGAGATTGTGGGGGAAAAAGGTGAATATTGAGGCGGGAGGTTGAATGGCATACAGGAGCGAGGTGGTTGTTCTTTCTACATATAGGTAGCAACCTGACAGAAGACATGGGGATTCTTAAATCTCAAAATAGTGATTGTGTTTTTGCGTTTGGGAAGTGCTTAAATGTTAAATTCTTTGTGCGTCCTTTGGCAACCTCTGCTAAATACAGGACACTGCCTGTATTTAGGCATTGTACCTTGTCATCTAACTCTTCCGTTATATTAGAATCATCTTCATTTTGGCAGTCCTTCTCCAACAGCCCAAAAAGACTAGCTCCTAAAATGTCATAATGGAGGATTAACCCAATACCCCATGCACAGCTGGATTGACACTGAGAACAGAGCTGCTCATTTGCACACTCCCCCATGCACAAGTTGCCCATGACCCCAGCAGGCAGAGTGGAACCCTACTGGATCACTGTACCTCCATGGCCTTGTGAAACATTTTGGTCTTAAGCCTTCACTTCTGTAAGGTGCTGGAACCCCTCTATGCTGCTATTTGAGATACTTCTGACCAAATGAAGGGGAAATGCTGCTGGAGTCCAGATAATCCAGACTCCGATGCTGGGATGGTTGATCACTACAATACAGAGCTTTTTGAATAGGTGTGGATTTAAAGAGGAAAATGTAATAGAAAAGAAGCTTTCAGGGCTCCGACAATAACTTGCAGAACCCCAAACCCCCTGATTAAAAATTTACAATCATATAGTCTTGTTACATAACATTTCCTCATTTTTCTTGTAACAATTGCATACATCCGCACTAGTTTAATACATACAAGTATAGTTGAGTGCCACCAAAACATTAATTTGATGTGCTTCCTAAAAAGTTAGAGAGAGGTAAGGGTTTGTTTTTATATTCCTGTGCTTAAATGAGTTGGAGAAACTATTTTTTAATATGAAGCCCTATAAGAGGAGCAGAAGGGGCTCCTTCAGTGGCTGAAGCAGCAATGCCCTTTGATGACAAGATGAGGATGTTCTGAATCCCAACAGTGAATGGTTAACAGTACCAAGCCATTGACTGGATGACACATCCTTAACTAATCATAAATGGGGAAATCATCTTCCAGTGGGGCCCCCCCACATTAATCTGTTTTTGGTCCAATCCAATCTCTCTATCAACCCAACTTGGAAGAACACTTATCATTCCTGGTAAAACAGACAAACAGTGGAGGAGTAAATGACAGTTCAGTTCTACAGCATAGTCTGTTGAACAACATGCACTTTAATACAATTAAATGTAAGGTTTATGTATAGTAGAAACCAAAATGTAGGTCGCACAAGGTGGAGGAGAGTATTTTGGAAGGCAGTGACACCACAGAGCTTTGTGTCATGTGGATAACGAGTTGAACATGAGCTGACAGTATGATGCAACTGGTTAAGAGAGCAAAGGCAATAAACTTATCTGTATAAGTAGGGGAATACTGAGTAGAAGTAGGGAGATGTTACCACCACTGCATGCATCAGTGCTGAGACAGTTACTGGAAGACTGTCCACTTCTCATGTCTGCACTTTAGAGAAGTTTACTCCTAGAGAAGGGCTCACAATCTAATTAGCTTGACAAAGAAAAGGTTAAAGTGGTGACTTGATCATGATCGAAGGCTATATCTACACTACCACCTATGTCGGCAAAATGTATGTCACTCGGGGGTGAATATTTCACCCCCCTGAGTGACAGAAGTTACACTAACGTAAGTGCTAATGTACACAGCGCTATGTTGGTGGGAGAGCTTCTCTTACTGAGATAATTTATGCCACTCCCAGGGGTGGTTTTTTTATGCTGATCAGAGAGCTCTCTTTAATTGTCGTAGAATGTCTTCACCACACGTTGTACAGCTGCACTGCTGTAGCATTAAGTGTAGACCTGGCCTAGGTATCTACATGGGTGGGAAAGATTGACAGTAAGAGATTTCTTTAATCTAGCAGACAAATATCTAAGATCCAGCAACTGGATCTGAAACTAGATAAGTTCATACTAGAAATCAGACTTCTTATAGGAGAGTAATTAAACATTGGAACAACTTAGAAGAAGAGGATGGCTTCTCCATCACATGATGTCTTTCTAAAAGATATGCTCTAGCTCATCCAGAAGTTATGGACTTAATACAGGAATCATTTGGTGATGGATTTGTCATGCAGGAGTCAGACAACATTGTTATGGTCCCTTCTGGCCTTAATCTTTGTTTCCTGGAGAATGAGAAGGCAGTAGTAAAAAGATAGTGATGTATCATACTGCCATAGTATGGCATAGTATGGCATAGTTGACTATAGTAGCCTGTATTACTATGAAATCATTATATAGTGTGGGAAAGTTTACATGGTGTTCTAGAAATGCACTAAGATAGCCCTTTCCATGAAGATGCTATATTCTGTCATACAAGAAACCTGTCCAGGGAGAGGAGAATGGATGGCTATTTGGTGCAAGTAGGCTAGTGGCTCTCAATGTTTCCAGACTACTGTACCCCTTTCAAGAGTCTGATTTATCTTGCGTACCGCCAGGTTACACCTCACTTAAACTACTTGCTTACACAATCAGACATAAAAATACAAAAGTGTCATAGCATAATATTAGTGAAGAAGTACTTGCTTTTTCATTTTTACCATATAATTATAAAATAAATGGATTGGAACAAATATTTTACTTACATTTCAGTGTATGCTATATAGAGCAGTCAAAACAAGTCATCGTCTGCATGGAATTTTAGTTTATACTGCCTTCGCTAGTGCTTTTTATGTAGCCTGTTGTAAAACTAGGCAAATATCTAGATGAGTTGATGAATCCCCTGGAAGACCTCTGTGTACCCACAGGGATACATGTATTCCTGGTTGAGAACCGCTGATATAGGCCATAGAATTTCCCCAAAATAATTCCTAGACCAGATCTTTTAGAAAAACATCCAATCTTGATTTAAGAAGTCAGTGATGGAGAATCCACCATAACCCTTGGTAAGTTGTTCCAATGATGAATTACTCTCCCTGTTAAAAACTTATGCCTTATTTCCATGCATAATGCTATGAATCATGCAGGTCATTGGTATTATTAGATTCCTGCTATAAATCCAGTTTGATGATCTCTAACTAATCCCTCAGAAAGAATGGGATGCTTTCCAAACAGCACTAATGTTACAATCACAGTACTGCTTTTCAGTTGACAAGTATGCAAATATCAAAGTCTGCTTTGGATTGGAAGCCATGAATTGGATTGCTGTGAAAAACCAAGTGACTAGGACATTCATAATTTTTTCATATGGGGGGGCAGGGTAAGTTAAATTTTATTTCATAGAATATCAGGGTTGGAAGTGACTTCAGGAGGTCATCTAGTCCAACCCCCTGCTCAAAGCAGAACCAAGCCCCAGTTTTTGCCCCAGCTCCCTAAATGGACTCCTCAAGGATTGAGCTCACAACCCTGGGTTTAGCAGGCCAATGCTCAAACCAGTGTGCTATCCCTCTGCAGAGCAGGTTGGAAAGTACCATTGCTTTCTGTTGCCACTTTGAAAACCAAAATGTCTCTCTTATTTGGGCTTCAGTTCTCCTCTGACTGAGGCCAGGGTTGCTGTGGAGGTGGCCTCTTCAACATTTAAGGAAACTTTCCGAGGAGCCTTAACTCAGGCTCTAGCTTCACACATGCAGATCAGCAAGTTTAATAAACTCATTTGCAGACATCTTTTTGAAATGCCCAGCCATAATATTACAGCAAGCGTCAAACTGATTCCTGCTTTTATTCACTAAAACATAGAGAAGCAGCCTCCCCTACATATTGTAGAGCAGATAGCACAAACTAAGTTTTAGCCACCTATTTCCCCCATATTTCAGCTCCAGCTGTATGTAGCAAAGGTGGGACCAGCTGCTTTTATTCAACTGAATTGTTGTTCCTCATTTGAAGACTGTTTACTTGGGATTTTAATTTATATTATTTCCCTTACATGTTCATTAAGATACTTATTAGCCTTCAACTGCACATGCTCATCAGAGGTTCCTGAATCCATCCCAGATGAAGATGGCACTGTTTCAAATGGTAATGACATTTATGCTAAATTTCATATAATTTTCTTACCTTCTTAGGTCTAGCACACTATGAATGCTGAACTTTCAAAAAGCTATTATGCTTGATTTGATGACTTCCTTAATTCTATGCCTTTCTGAAACATTTGGTCTTGTTTTCTCAAAACACAGTTATTTCCTTTGTCTGCCTTTCCTTGATGAGTTATAACTGATGTCCATGGTAGTTCTACAGCATAGTGCAGCACTTCAGATGTTCCAGGTCAAATTCTGATCTTGATTACACTAGTAAAAAGCCAAATCAACCACAGTAAATTACTTCATCTGTAGGCTTATAAATCCTGCAACAAGTATACATACCACACACCCTTCTCCTGGATAAGCCTAACGAAACTTCCTAAAGGTGTGACAACACGCGAAATGCTACAGCAGCACAGCTGCTGCAGAGGTGCCATCGTGTAGACACCTACTACAGAAATGGAAGGGGTTCTTGTGTCCCTAGTAAATCCATGGCTCAGAGGCACTAAGTAGGTAGCTCTTGGTGTCTGCTTGACCAGGGCTTTGTTCTCCTTCAGCACCTTACACTGAGGTTCTGGCTGCACTTCTTCCCACACCTCATTTTACACACTGCATCTGTGGCCATATGGAGTTGCAAGATCTCTTTATCAACCCCCTGCTGGCCAAGATAGCCCTCCATCACACGAGGAGGAGGAAAGCTGGGGAGCAGGCATGTTCTGTGACTGTGGGGTCTATTTCTTGTCCCTTATCCCAGTGGTTCTCAACCTTTCCAGACTACTGTACCCCTTTCAGGAGTCTGATGTGTTGTGTACCCCCAAGTTTCACTTCACTTAAAAGTTACTTACAAAATCAGAACTAAAAATAAAAAATGTCTCAGCACACTATTACTGAAAAATTGCTTATTTTCTCATTTTTACCATATAATTATAATAAATAAATTGGGGTGTAAATATTGTACTTACATTTCAGTGTATACCATATAGAGCAGTATAAACAAGTTATATGAAATTTTACTTGATATTGACTTCACTAGTGCTTTTTATGTAGCCTGTTGTAAAACTAGGCAAATATCTAGATGAGTTGATGCAACCCCAGAAAGACCTCTGTGTACCTGCAGAGGTGTACCACTGGCAGGGGTTCTTTGCTCTGTGTCCTCTGGATCCCTGATTTTCAAGCTTTGACATCACTCCTGTTGAATGTGATGTGAGCTGTAGCTCAGGAAAGCTTATGCTCAAATAAATTGGTTAGTCTTTAAGATGCCACAAGTACTCCTGTTCTTTTTGCAAATATAGACTAACACGGCTGCTACTCTGAAACCTGTTCTTCATTTGTTGTCCCCAGTTTTCAGTTGCAGCATGGGTCCAATGGCTGCCCCACTTTGGTTGCAGGGGGGGAGCTAGACATGCCTGTTCCATTACCCACAAATAGTACCAGGGCTTAGGTCAACTTAACTTAATCACATAGGGTGTGAAATTTTTCACAGCCCTGAGCAATGTTAGTTAAATCAACCTAATTTTGTAGTATAGACCAGCCCTGAGTTCATTCTAATGAGTCATTCTGTTGATGCTTGGATGGGAAGAAGTGGAAGAAAATGCACATGTGTCATAACTACTATTTATATAGACTAAAGAGTGAGGTTTCTATTGTGCTTTCCCATTGAAAAGGGTGGTCAAACAATAACCCTTCTGCATAAGATTCCACTGTGGATCAGTCTTTTGTATTGAATACTGTCAATGTTTAATTGGTAATGAAAAGAGGTGCCAGGGCTCAACCAATTGTTTTACATTCCTAACTGATGCAGCAAGCCCAGAGGTGCCAGGGCTATGAACTGTCAAACCTAGAGGTGTCAGGAATCAGCCCTGGCAAAAATTAAGCACTGAATACAGTACTCAAAGAGAAATAGCAGTGAGAGATTTCTGCCCACTTAGACAAAAGGAGCCCTCAGGGCCGAGACAAGATATACTTGTAATTAGTGAGGAATGTATTTGACTTAGTCTCAGTTTCAATCAATGAAGGATGGATCCTCTGTCTTCAGTTTGCACTTTTCACATTTTAATCATCAGTCCTAGATCTGCATGAGATTGCTTATAGTTTCAGGCATCCTTAGCCCAGGAAGGAGGTGAGCCACAAGAGAGAAGAGACAAATCTATCAATGCAAATATCTAATTTGGAACAGCTGAATGGGAACTAAGAATTTTTCCATCTCTCCTTTCTCCAAACACACGTTCAGAGCCTGTCAAGGTGAAACCATGACAATTTGAAGATCATGCATTAAAAACAAACAAGCACATTACTGAATATGCCTCTTCCAGCAAACTAATGATGAATTCATAACTCTTGCAGAGCTTTTCTAATGGTTTTAAGCAATAAACCTTTGATAATTAGATGTCTTCCCTATTGGAAGTAGTTAGATGAATCAGTGTTTACACACAGAAAATTAATTAGGCCTTATCTTTACAAAAATTGAGTTTGTGAAAGGGACATTCCTTATTGGACATCACACAGTTATAGCAGAACCCAAAAGCCATGACCAAGTGTGATGGTAAGTGCTCCTTCAAGGGTAGCTTTTTTGTGGGGGTTTGTTTTGTTTTTAAAGCCCTCAGTGTCAAGAGTTATGGATAAATCAGCCAAGAAGTGATAGAAAAGACTTCATCCACACGCTCCAGGATTCTCCATTTCACTAGCAATGCAGAGAAATACTCCTCCCTTCACATTTTTTCCTCTTCTCATTTATTCCACATCTCTCAAGGATCTACGTTGTGGCTGGCTGAAGAGGCTGAACAAGCCTCTGTTCTGGAGCCTGTCCACCTCACTCCCTGCTCAGCTATGGAATGGATGTGAAGTGGCGTGAGGCTCTCCCAGCTGGGAAAAAGAGCCTTAGCTTGAAGGTACCACAAGAGGAGAATGGGCATTTATGTTTACGCAGCTTTTCACGTCTAATTGCTTTTCCTTTGGAACCCTAAACTGATTATCAGCAAGATTTCCAGCAGCAAAATAGCCATTCCCACCTAACCATTCCATCCTTTCCCCTCCTTCAACAAGCCACTGAAAGATGGGGAGACAGAAGGTTCCTTGCGAATGTGTATCACCATTTATTTTAGTTCAAGAGTCAGGAACTGAACAGAGGACACTGTCAGCAAAAAACAAAAGAAACAACTTTTTTTTTTTTTACAGGCTTAATTTTAAAACACTGCGGTTTCAAATCCTTTTTAAAAAGGAAATTCAAGTATCTTAAGCAGGGGGCAGTAATACAAAAATCTTTTTTTTTGTTGGTTTTTTAGTTTTTCTAAAAAAATTCTACATTTCCTGCACCCTTTTTGCTTTGGTAAGGCCAAGCCATGGATACAAACTGGTACGCAACATAAAAATGACCCCCACTCCAAATTACAGGCTCCAAGAATAAAAGGATCCACTCTCCGGAGACAAAGTGTCACGGCTCAGAACTGTCACTTAGCATACGATGTCTCCGGCTTTAAAAGAATTTATTTATTTCTTTATTTTAAGTCACTGAAGTCCTGGCATTCCCAAACACCTCCTTGGTAGCAGCTGTTTCAATATGTTCTATCATAAGGCTTTTCAAAAATACCAGAGCATCAAGATTTTCTCTATTCAACACAAAGAAAAGGGACATCTCAAAGAACAACTTAAAATCCGTGTGTCAAAAAATTTTTAAATTATTATTCTTGTGTGTCAGCTAACACCAATTAAAAAACAAATATGCGAATATGTATAATATAAAAATACGATCCCAAGATTAACACTTTGTTGCAGGCACAATTATCTCACAGAATATGTTCTCCTGGGGGCAGGGGAAGGACTATTTTCACTGTGGAGTTTTGTTTTTGTTTGCATTACAAAAAAAAAAAAAAAAAAGACAGCAGTGCAGGTTTTGGGGGGAAACGGGAGGGAAAAATGTTATTTTAGCAGCAAAGTGTCCAAGGTTCTAACCACAATCAAATTAATGAATATCTGGCTGTAAAAAATAAAGTTGAAGGGATGCTGCCCTGATCCATTCATTTTTGCTAAAATAATTCAGCTGTAAAACCCCCAAATCGTGACATATTGAAGGACTTTGTTTTGTAACATTAGAAACTTCCTAATTTGTCCTCCACACTATTGACCATTGTTACCATTTAAATATATGTACAAGAATTAAGCTGCTTTTCTTCTCGTCCACATGCTTCTGGTCATTATTACAAGTCAGTGGTGGTGGGCACCCTGAACGTTAATTCCGTCTTCAGCTTCCAATGGATTATATGCACCATCATCACTGCATCAATCCATGCCCTGCTCTTCTCATTGGCCTTGGCATGCACTGCAAGGGAGTTTTTAATGATCAGTGTTCTGCTTGTCTCTCATCCAGGCTTGGATTTGCTCTTTCAGTTCTGGCACTTGGAATGAAGAGAGAAAAGAATTTAAATAGTTAATGTGAAATTTGTGAAGTTATAGAAACATTAAACTGTGAAACAACTATGGGACAAATAGTGCTGTCCTTTGGTTAGGACAGAGAATGAAGAGGGAACCCCAGAGCTCTATTTTCTGCGCTGATAATGAATTTGCCATGTGGCTTCAGGCAAATCACTTAATCTCTCTCTGCCTCACTTTATCTATTGACGAAGCGAATGTAATATTTACCTACCACTAGAAGATGCATTAGCCTAAATGGTGGGAGCTCTGGACTCATTCAGATAAAGAAGGGAAAAATACAAAGACTGACCACAAAGAATAAAACTTAGAAATTTTCTGAGAGACGCGGGGCCAAAGCTGAGAGTGGGGAGGGCAGAACTGGACTGCTGCTCTATCCAGGCTATGACACTACCCTACAGAAGTCTGAGACATACCCAAGGGTACAACCCTCCATCAATAAAAGGCAGAGCTACCTGGTTCTAGCATGTTTTCTGTCAGTGTCTGCCGATTGAAGGGGTCAGTGGAGGAGTTCAGCAGGTGTCGCAGGATGATTGATCTGTCCATGATCGTTCCAGACGGCAGCCTCACAGGGTCGGTCATAAGAGTGTCCATGAGTGGATCTGAAGGGACAGATGAAGCTTATGTAATTAAATTAAAGAAACAGAGGGGAAAAAAAATAAGTGATTTCCTGATGCCTCACAGCGCAGAAGTGACCTGGAGAATCTCTCTGGATCATTGAGGACCAGATACATTATTGAAGTGACACAGGGTACCCCAAAGGGAGGAAAAGCAGCGTTCTTAGGTGTCTCCTGCCAACGGATCCAGAACTGGAGTGAAGATACCATCAGATTAGAGCTCATAGAGGTGGGCAACTGCTGCTGGAAATGGGGAATTGCTGGGATGAAGGCTACCCTAGAATGCAGAGCTGTCCATTCACATAAACTTCGGAAGGAGAACAAAGTGTAAAGTGCGAGCATTTCACTGGGCTCTCAGAGATCTTGTACTGTTTTATGACCCACGTTTGCAAAGCTGGTCTAAGCACATGGCTAGGTATGAATAATGCAGTCCCTGAACAACTTTGCTCTCTTCACTCAAACCTGAACTGTTATCACTGAATTGGTGGAAGATTCAGGACTACAGAGAACAGTAGGCTGTTTCCATTAGAAATCACAGGTCTAAATTATACATACCTTATATATACTTTAAGCAACTGCACTCCCCCCAAAAGGTTATTAAAAAAATCAACCTGCCTCTGAATTCATCTGGCGCATCGCTATAATCGATTTCTGCACGGGCATTCTTGGCAACAATTTCCTCCACTTTCTCTGCCAGCAGTTTGAATTTTTCTATTGCTATCGTGGACTTGATTCCAGCCTTCCTCATCTTTGAAATAACCTCCTCAAATAGCTCTTTGCTGTAGGACCTCTGCAAACAAGCAGAATAAAGAGAAAATGTGAACTTGTGACACCTTTGCTCAGTTACAGCATCTAACGATCTTAAAACACTTTGTAAAAATAAACTAATTAAGCCTTAACATGAATGTGAGGTAGGCAAGAGGTATATAGGGATCACTTCACTGAGCACTGAAACGTAGCCACCTCTGGGACGGAGGGCAGCTTCTGGACCACTGTGTATCTATGTAGGATAGTAAATGAAGAGTACTATATCCAATTGGAGTTGTAGAGCAGTTTATGGAGGCCAAACTTAATTGTCAGAGTTGGTGTTTACTCAGAACCCCTGGGTTACCACCCTTTCTTTTGTGACACACACTATGAACACAAGTGGTATATTTTCTCTTTCATCTAAAAGGATAGCAGCTTCAGCTACACAGGCTTTCAGAAGGAAGAGTGTCATCGACTGAATCACCACCACTCTCACCCAATCATTTCTTTTAGGTATTCTTCCAATAATGGATTCATCCCAACCCTGATTTGCTTGTGAGATGATCATGGCACAAGGTGATGCAGTAAGGAGGAATAGCAGTGCGCCCAAATCTCCCACCCTGCCTTGCAACAGTGGGATAACTGATTAGAATAGAGTCATCTTTTTCCACAAGGCACAATACGAACACAAATGAATTCGCACATGTTGGTGGAAACATCACCTATAGTTTGGTTTTTCTGAATTATTAACTGCTATAATTATTGCCAAGGGTAGTTACATGCCATGCAAGTGTTGGGATGTGGGAATCAGTATGACACTGGAGAAATCTCGAAAACAAGGATGAAAGCACAGAGTATCTAGCCCACCCACCAGGATGATACTGGTAATCAGGTGCATTGGGAAGAAAAATATCAGATTCACCAGCTAAAAATGGGCATGCAGTTGCTATAGGGGATAGGCTGATGATCTGTTTATCTCTGTGACGAAGTGGAAGACAATTCTGGGAAGGGACAGAAGAGGAATGATCCTTAAAAATCCTGCTGCAAAAATCAGCAAGAAGTCTCAGTGAGGGAGTTGGTACCTGCTGGGAGCCTGCCAGTTCGATGCACCATGCAGCACACTGCAGGAACAGCAGCACACTGCTTCTGGAACTGCGCAGCTACACCGGCCACAGGCAGAACGCATACTTTACAGCTTCAACTGACTTACGCATCGGTTTAATCAACAACTAAGAATAAAGCTATATACAAGAACTTTTGCAAACTGCTCATGTTCTGGAGACTATAAAGCCACCTACATGTACCTTCAGAGTGCTGGGCTTTGAAATAAGCCTTTTAAAATTTATTTTCATAGTTTCAAAAGCCCTCTTTTAACCAACACCTATTTAAACTACACCGTATGAGACTGAGTTAAGCAACAAACACGATTTAACATACTGGGTTTTAGGAGTTGCTGTTTTCTTTGGGAATTTGTTCTAAACACAGTGGTAATTCTCTACTCTGCATTATAGATCTCACTGAAACATTGTATTCAATGCTCAGGACACAGTGTGCCCACCCAAACTCCATGCCAACCTGGAGCGGAGAACATAATTATGGCACTGTGCCTGGGGGCTGGCAAAGCTCTTCAAATTTCTTCTACGTACTAGGACTGCAAATCAGAGATCCATCAAAATGCTTTAGAACATCTCTGCCACATACAGGCAACCTTTTAGAACATACTTTTTACCCAATCGCTATTACAGCATCATGTGTTTTCTTGGATTTTCCTTCCTGTTATTGCCAAGACACTAGTCACTCCCCCCACTTTTTTTTTTTTTTAAATGAGAAGCCACTTTATGTTATCCAACTTTAACTCATTTGTACTAGTTACAACTCAAATGCACAGCAGCGAGGTGGGGACAAACTAAAATAAAGCATATTGGTGCAGGAACTGGAATAGTGTTAAAGGGACACTGTCAATTTAGAAGTTATAGATAGCTAACAAAAGGCATCTTTTTAGGTACATTACTGACACCATGTGAGATCATCAGAATGGAAAAAGCTTACAATTTACTTTTCTCTATTTATGCTGTTTGCTTCCTGTATTTCTCAGCCGGGAGGAAGGGCGGGGAGGGGGGGGAATTAATCAAGCCACTTGCACAGTTCTGCTGCTTGGAGGTGCACACTCGAAGGGGAATATTTACTTATTTTAAAACCATTTCCATCAGAAGTCTAAGCAGCCCTAGAAACATTTCTATTGGTCTTTGGATTCTGAAAAGCTTGGCTTTGTACAAAACAAAACCCTGGACCAACATTTGTCCTTTCAAATCTCAAACAGGACACAAGGTTACAGATGAGCCATAGTTTACCTATATGATCAATCACACACACAACACTATTTTATAAACATAGAGGTGTCACTCTAATGATTATTGTTGCAAGGAAATATGTTCTAGAGGAATGAGCCTAGATTTGTGAGAAGAGGCCCTTAGATCACAGTTCCAGTTCTGCCAGAGACCATCTGTGTGGTCATGACCTCGGGCATGATCAGAATCACCCTTGTGTCTTTGTTTCCCCTCTAAAGTGGAGGCAATACTACTATTACTCTTACCTCATAGGGGAGGCTAAGCAGGTAACAGTTAATGTTTGTAAAATGCTCTGCATATGTAAAGTGCTACATATATTCTATGAACAACTATGTATTATTTATATAGCACTATAGGTTTGCAAAGCACGTTATAAACATACCTATCTCAAAGGAGAAGAGAGTGCCCATGCAGAGATTAATCATGGAAAGTAAATTGAAGGAGGTTGGTTGGCAGTGCACAGGTAGTGGGCAAGCTCTTCCAGAAGTGATTCTGGAAAGCTCTGCCAGTTCTGTTTGCCCATACCACCACCATACCCACCTCTCTTTCTGGAGCTCACCTGGTCGTCGGCAATTGCTTTAGCGAAGCGAGCACAATCTAACTGCAGGTAAATATCAGTCAGTTGGTCCAACAGCTTCTTTGGTTCAAACCCATATTTTTCAGGGTTTTCAACTTTCAGGTCACGACACTTGGGGCCACACAATTGCTGAAGGTTAAAGTTCAGCATAGCAGCCAATCGTGGACCAAGTTCCTAGAAGGTCAAAATAAAGTACAAATGAAAAAACGAGGAGGCACTGGGGAAGGGACACCACCTTAAGGCCCACATGCATCTGGCTCAGGAATTCGAGACTATGATTTCTCTTCAGGAAGACTGCCACCGATTTCATAAGTTTCACACGGTGAGCCTTTCCTCATTGCTATCTCCAAACAGTTAAACTTATATCCAAACTCAAGTATTCATCATATGAAGTAGAAAACAACACAACTTTTACTGAACATCTGCCCAAAAATACACATTTAAAAAAAAAACGTGTAGGTAATATAATTCCAGGTGGTGTTTCTGCTGGTGACGAGATGAAAACATCACATGCCTACATCCCTCTTCAGAGTGCAACAATCATGATGACTTTTCTCAGGCCGGAAGGACAGAAACCGTCTCCACAAACATAAACCCTAGAATGCCCTTCCTACCATCCCATCTTGGCATCATTGTAACATGCTTGTTATAATCCAAACACAGAGGGAATCTGTGACTTGTCTAAAAGCACCATTAACATCTCAGGGACTAAGGAAATGCATTTTATAGCACCAAATCATTGCTACCAATAATACATATGCTTAGAATTAGATTTCAGTGCACTGTGGATAACATTACAGCTTATCTCCAGGATTTTATCCAGTAAAGAAAAAGAGCCAACCCACATATTAAAGAAGCTGGAAACCAGCCAGGCAATGAGGAACACTAGAGCAGAACAGTTTATACTTACAGGTCTGAGGAAAGGCTTCTGAACCTGCTTGGTAAGGATATGGAACATATCAACAGTTTCTGTTGCCAGGGCAAGATACGAGCGAGACACACGCTCATCCTGAGCAAGCTGAGACTGCCGAGCCTGTTGCTGGTCCTAGAAAATAAACATGCCACAATTACAAGTCCTTATAACTCCCTACTCAATAGCTAAACAGACATGATCTAACATCCTTTTGGCCGGAAGCAGAGTGACAGACTGTGGTTCAAGTTGTATTAAGACGCTGCTCCTTTATTTAAGGTACAGCTCCCCTTCAAAATAGCATGTCCTAGACAAAAATCTGGGGTGGTGGAGGGGTATAAAAGTGGATAGTATCAAGGCTGTAAAGTGCTGTGTCACTCCAAAAAATGACTGTACAAATGGTATTGTGGTGGGGTCCCATGTTTAGCGAGTCTCACTGATTCCATATCCAATTTGCTCAACATACAATTAAAAGGGTGGGTTGGGTTTCTCCCCCATCCCAAATACCAGCACTGCAGAGTCAGTGTTGGAACTGAGAGTCAGGCTGGGTTTTTTCTGGCTTGTTCATTAACACAGGTAATAAAGCTTCTAAAATTGGGACAATTCTTTAGATGTGCCAATTCACTCCTTCACCTAGTAACGGCTCTGCCATGCTAACAGGAGTAAACTGTCATAAAGGCTTCAGAAGAGCAAACCTGATTCTGACTCAACACATGAAGCAGAAGCCGTGAAGGTGATTTTTTAGAGAGTCATTTTGCTGACCCAGAACTTCACTTTGAATCTTCTTTCTTAATTACTTTTATGGGAAAGAGATAAGGGCTCTCAGATCCACACATCTTTGAAACGTAAATCAGAGAGAGTCACGTGGATGAGTTATTGCACAACTTTCAGCTCTGAACAATTAGCAGCAAGCTCCTACAGGACTGTCAGGAGTTGAGGTCATGCTGTTTGACACTTGAAAGGTACAGGTTTCAGAGTAGCAGCCGTGTTAGTCTGTATTCGCAAAAAGAAAAGGAGTACTTGTGGCACCTTAGAGACTAACCAATTTATTTGAGCATGAGCTTTCGTGAGCTACAGCTCACTTCATCGGATGCATACCGTGGAAACTGCAGCAGACTTTATATACACACAGAGAATATGAAACAATACCTCCTCCCACCCCACTGTCCTGCTGGTAATAGCTTATCTAAAGTGATCATCAAGTTGGGCCATTTCCAGCACAAATCCAGGTTTTCTCACCCTCCACCCCCCCCACACAAATTCACTCTCCTGCTGGTGATAGCCCATCCAAAGTGACAACTCTCTACACAATGTGCATGATAATCAAGTTGGGCCATTTCCTGCACAAATCCAGGTTCTCTCACCCCCTCCCAAAAACCACACACACAAACTCACTATCCTGCTGGTAATAGCTCATCCAAAGTGAGCACTCTCCCTACAATGTGCATGATAATCAAGGTGGGCCATTTCCAGCACAAATCCAGGTTTTCTCACCCCCCCACCCCCATACACCACAAACTCACTCTCCTGCTGGTAATAGCTCATTCAAACTGACCACTCTTCAAGTTTAAATCCAAGTTAAACCAGAACATCTGGGGGGGGTGGGTAGAAAAAAACAAGGGGAAAGAGGCTACCTTGCATAATGACTTAGCCACTCCCAGTCTCTATTTAAGCCTAAATTAATAGTATCCAATTTGCAAATGAATTCCAATTCAGCAGTTTCTCGCTGGAGTCTGGATTTGAAGTTTTTTTGTTTTAAGATAGCGACCTTCATGTCTGTGATTGCGTGACCAGAGAGATTGAAGTGTTCTCCGACTGGTTTATGAATGTTATAATTCTTGACATCTGATTTGTGTCCATTTATTCTTTTACGTAGAGACTGTCCAGTTTGACCAACGTACATGGCAGAGGGGCATTGCTGGCACATGATGGCATATATCACATTGGTGGATGTGCAGGTGAACGAGCCTCTGATAGTGTGGCTGATGTTATTAGGGCCTATTATGCAAGGTAGCCTATTTCCCCTTGTTTTTTCCTACCCCCCCCCCCGATGTTCTGGTTTAACTTGGATTTAAACTTGGAGAGTGGTCAGTTTGGATGAGCTATTACCAGCAGGAGAGTGAGTTTGTGTGTGTATGGGGTGGGGGGGGTGAGAAAACCTGGATTTGCGCTGGAAATGGCCCACCTTGATTATCATGCACATTGTAGGGAGAGTGCTCACTTTGGATGAGCTATTACCAGCAGGATAGTGAGTTTGTGTGTGGGGTTTTTGGGAGGGGGGTGAGAGAACCTGGATTTGTGCAGGAAATGGCCCAACTTGATTATCATGCACATTGTGTAGAGAGTTGTCACTTTGGATGGGCTATCACCAGCAGGAGAGTGAATTTGTGTGGGGGGGTGGAGGGTGAGAAAACCTGGATTTGTGCTGGAAATGGCCCAACTTGATGATCACTTTAGATAAGCTATTACCAGCAGGACAGTGGGGTGGGAGGAGGTATTGTTTCATATTCTCTGTGTGTATATAAAGTCTGCTGCAGTTTCCACGATATGCATCCGATGAAGTGAGCTGTAGCTCACGAAAGCTCATGCTCAAATAAATTGGTTAGTCTCTAAGGTGCCACAAGTACTCCTTTTCTTTTTGAAAGGTACAGTTTCTCTAGATTTGAAACATGACTCATGACCTATATGTCACAACCTATTAATGATCTCCAAATCTTCTATTAAAACTACTTGACAAAAGTGCTGGAGAATACATTACAGTGAACTATTCTGCCCTAGCTGTGGGCTGGACTGGAGGACAAACAGAACTGTTCCAACTCTAATTCCATACAAGTTGTATGGAAGAACATTATTTACAATCGTACACTCAGTCAGTATGACTTCAATTATCAACATGGAATATAGATGTTCCTCATATAAGGAGTTCCACTAGGTGACAACAACAAATGTGAGAACAACACTAAGTAAGTGAAGTCCAGAAGGAAAGTTAGATCTAAAGTGAGGAACAGTAAGAATTGGACCTTTGAGAACTTCATTAGCCAGGGAGCTATCCCCCCACCTGCCAAGGGCTAGATCAGCCTCTGCTGATCCAAAATCCCGAGAGAGAGTTCTAAATGCTAATTCCATACAGGGTGCTGTGTTGGAGCCACTTCTAGATTGAAACAAAGACAAAGTAGTTTTAATCAATACAAATGTTATAAAAATAGTACAAGAGCTGACCAAGAAATGGTCTTCATTTCCAGACCCATCAGCTTTTACACTATCCTTATAATATTTACATACTAAAGCATCACTCTTTACAGTCCCTTTGTATAGCATTATTCATATTTTACAGCTATTGCTGCAATATGAAAAGAAGACAGTGTTGCTGACTATAGCCAAGTGCAGTTGCCAGTTTAATATTTGATAAATCTTCTGTCAGGGGATTATATCCTGCACTTGTCAATGGACTGGACTCTAATCTAAAAGGTCGTTTCTATCTCTAACTTTTAACACACTACAGTAATTTGTATTCTTCCCACTGTGACAAACACCACAGACATCAACATGTCTGCAACTAGATAATCCATTGGAACTAATCTTCTCCTTCACACATACACATGCAGACACCTAAGCACCAAAGATTACAACCATGCAGAATATTTCCACCACTGTATGCTAAGTGAATCCCAGGACAACTGCATACAGTCATTTACTATCCTAGTAAATGTTAAGTTTATCCAAGACTATTTAAGAACAGAATAATCCAGCTGCCTACTTTACATTGGGCTTTAATGCTCTATTTTTTGCCACCACTGTTTGCACTGTAAGGATTACCCACTTCCAAGATTTGCACTCATGTGCTCTATCTGAGGCAGCTGTCCACATTCTTGTTGTATAAAAGTTTTAGGATAACTAACGCTTATCTGTATCAAAAGGAGGAAGTAACACTGCAGTGAAAATACAGACTTTAGAACATTCTTATCTGAAAGGAACTCTGCAAAACGGATTTTCCCTTTCTATATATCTTTTTTATTTCAGATTATTTTTGAAATCAATAACCTCAGTATAAAAATATCTGACATTGGTGGGTGAATGCATACAAATATTGTATAATGACACTGAATCCTGAAATTTATTCTCTTCCTTTCCATCCCAAAGCCTGCTTTGAGCTCAATACATTAGAAGAAAAAAAGCTCTTAGCTGGAACAGTTCTTTGAAGTGAACTCAGCTGGTGGGCATCTTCCAGAACTTCCTTTGAAAAAAGGATTATAAGCCTCAATTTCCCCATTTAGCATTTTAAATACACCATCTCTTAAAAGTCTCATATCCCCTCCCCCGCAATGCCAGCCCTGATGTAACTCTGCAGCCTGGATTCTCTTTCAGGAAGCAGTGCCCAAAGTGACCCTGGCCATGGTAGCAGCAAGCAATGCCACCTCCAAGGGCAGCTCTGCAAGAGCAGCTCTTTGGTGCTACCCTTAGCCGAAGAAATCCTAGCATAAGAAAGAAAGGGGCACTGGGGGAAAAAAAACAACATGCTCACCCTAGGCAGCAGGTCCCACTGTTCTTTGTTCTTCATCTCCTCTTGAACTTCATGGATCCGTTTTAGGGACTCCAGACTCTCGTCCAGCAAGAAAGTGGTGTCGTTTATCAGCATGTTGATATAGCGAACAAACTGCTTCCCAGAGCTGGAAAACATTGAAATGCCTTTGTCGCTGCACGGTACAACAGGAGCATTCAATCCAGAACGCATCTCTCAGTCTGGAGCACTAGCAACATTCCTTCTTCATATCACAGTTTGAATAATTAATGCCCCCACTCTACAGGCCAGATGAACCAAAGTCCAGAGGCACCCTATATTCCTCTGTGTTTAGAATGGCCATAGTGGAAAGGCCTAATCATGTAAGCTGGGACTGATCAAACGAGGTATCCTTCCCCTTCCTGACCGTAATAGCAAAGTAAGAGCAAGAGAGAGCCTAAACAAGAATAAAGCAGGAGGAGGGAAAATCCGTCTTCAATGGACAAAACAGCTCTTGTTGGCCAGTGACAGAAACATTGTTAAATATCTAGGAACTCACAAGAGAGGCCCAAATAAACATCACCACGGTCTGGAAATGGAATCTGGGACAGACCAGCAGGGGGAATAAAAGAATGGAAGGGATAATCCCTGTCTCTGCACATTTGTACTATAACAGGATGACAGACATTAACAACTGGAAACGAAGTTAAGTATGCTCAGAAAAATACACAGGGGTTCCCAACTGGGATCACCACCATGAGCTCAGGAAAACACTCAGAAGAAGCATAAGGTAGCAGCTAAGAAAAACTAAAAGAAAAGCATTTTCCAGGTATTTGTGGCAAAACATGACCAAGGCACGGGGAGAGTGCAGAAGATGTGCCCTCCAACATGACAGAGAAGCGAGCATTATGCACATCAGCATAGGGAGGCACATTTGAAAATAAATACTGGGGGGAAGTTTTCCTCTTGCACCTACGGATCTTATATATTTTTTTCATGTTCTGAAGCTAAATATCTTTGAGTAGTCTGGCTCTTCAGCTACATATCCTAGTTGGAGGGATCAGCCTCAGATCCTTACTCCAGTGGTCTCCACACTTCAGAAATCCAAGGCAAGTGTCTAAGCAGTTATCTCTGGCATTTACAACATTTTACTCACTTGAACTCTTCCATGAAGGTGCCATGATGAGCTATGTTCTGCCAAAGGCTTTTGAAAATGGTGCTGATATGGTAGCGGATTGTAAATTTGTCATAGAACTCGCTGGTGGCTCCAGTGTGCTCAACATCTGAGAAGAAAATAGAAGACCCCAGTATTAAAACTAGAACCCCATCATCAAAATTTCCCTCCAGTATCCTGTGCTGATTACTAGGTATCCATATACCACACTTCCCACCCCCTCAATCTAACTGGTCAGGTACAGCTGAAAGCTGCAAAAAAATAAATCACATCTGTAAAACTCCAACTTGGTCCCCATTTTAAAGGGGCATCATTCACTTTAATTCTCAGAATCAACCTTCCCTTTCAAAGGAAAACAAGTTTCATGATGTAGCATTTTTGGAGGAGCATACCTTACATACTACTTTTATTCCATGTTTAACAAAAACCCCCATTGTTTGGGCTCTCCAATGTGTGAGATGGTAAAGACAAATAATTAAAGTGAATATAGAGATCCATAAAAAAACTGGATTACTGAATACAAAAATAAAAAATCTCTACCTCAACATTATGTTGAGTATTTAATCACCCTGCCCCCGCCCCAAAAAAAAAATCAGGAAATTGAGTTGTTTCTGCATCAACTGTAGACCCCTTTCAAATGTATAGTAATCTGATTTAAGAATATCCATGTCTCTCAGGGTTTAATATTTCTGCTCATCACCACAGCATCTGACCACTTTCCATGTAAAATCAATAGCAATAATGAAATCTCTAGTGTACCTCCTGGGGTAGATGGTTCTTCTCCCTTTTTGGGGTACTGCTTTTGGTTTTGATTTTTTAGATTTTACTAATTTACTTGGGGGTTTTTTTGTTTAGATTGGTTGATGTTTTTCAGGGAAAATAAAATGGTTATTAGCGGCTGAAAACATGCGCATTGTAGTCGACAAATGCTTACTAGAGAGAGAACTTTGAACTGTGGGGAGATTATACTATACACTTATTCTGCTGTAGTGACCATCCCAGAGTAAGTAGCACTGTACAAAAGTTAAGGTCACATTAACATACAACAGAATAGGGCAGAAGGATGTAGCCAAATTATGAAATTAAGCAAGAAAAAAGAACTGAAAAAAAGGTGAAGCCAGAACACTCAAATGAATTAACTTTTGTGCATTTAAAATATCAGCATATTCTATTAGTGTAGGTTTTTTCTTTGTTTTTATTTATTTCTTTTTTAGAAAAAGAAAAATAGCATGTGTGTAGGACTATAAGATTCCTTTTCTACCCAACTGTTATATGTTCTATGACTCTGTGCTCCACAGTGCAATAAAGCTGGCAGATCATGGTAGATTTGAAGCTGAGATAGCTGAAAGGCCACTTAGACTCACTGGATCCTTGGGATGTATGTTTGAAAAGCAAAAGGCGGCTAGGAGAGATGGGACATCAGAGGGGATTGCAGGGGACTGATGACTTCCCAGAGGCAGAGCCCGCAAGGGCTGTCCAAGGTTTATATGGCTATCAGGGTACTTACAATCTCATGCACAAAAAAATTTTAGCTCCAAGCACCCCCTCCCACTCCCCAAACGTGGGAAAAAACAAAAAAAAAAAAACAAACAAAAAACCACCTTTCCTGCCTTGGAATTCAAGTGCCAGGGCAGCACTGCTAGTGTCAGGCTACAATAAAGCCGCACAAAGACGGTCAGAAAGCAATAGAACAAGGCATCATCTAAAGATGTTCCAAAGGACTGACCTTGATTTTTTTTTGAGAGCCTAAGCCGACTGACAGAACCTCTTGCCTTACCAGGCTTTCATCCCTCACCGTGTTGATCAATACCCTGCAAACACAACATCTTACCTGTATAAAACTTCATCAGCGAGGGAACTAACAATTTCGTGGAGAGAGGATGATTCTCAATCATTTCGAAGAACTTCTGTGTCCGTGGCTGAACAGCTGGGTTGGTCATGAACATCACCTCCACCAGCTTTGCTACCAGATACGGGTTTCGGATGTAGTTCTGGTTGCACAGCATCACAACAAGGAACATCACAATGTCCTGAGTGCAGGGCTCATAAAGCACCTGCGGAGAGTATCTGAAGAGAGGTAAGAGGGAGGGGAAAAAAGCAAAACCTGTAAAGGATTCAGCTACATACTTGTCTCAGGCAACTCAGGTCAGACTACCTGTTAGCCCGAGCAAAAGCACAAGTCATTATGGAAACTACATTCTGATGAAGTTACGTTAGGCGCCCTTGCCAATAATAGTTTCCTGGGACCGCCTCTGAATTACAGCCACAATCAGTTGTTACATTTCATATGGCGTCAACACTACTTTGAAGTGCCACTTTAATGCTACCTCCTCGGCATGCAGGGACAACTGCTGCCTCTTTTTGAAGCACTGCGAGAAAAAGACAGGGGCTGGACATGGAGCTGAAGAAGGAAAATGACTGAGATCTCTTGAATTCTATGAACACCAGTGGACCCACAAGTCTGAGGGAACAACCATATTCAGCTTTAATGAGGTAAATCTTAGAAGTTAATATGATTCTGGCAAATCTACAAATTAAAGGGCATTTGTTTATTAGAGTGTCATTGCTTATCTTTAATACTGCTCTAGACATGGTGAATACCTCAGACCTTATTAAGATATCAAAGAGAAATTGCCTTTTTAACATGTGGTACTACATTCAATTTATAATAGTCTAGGAAAGCATTTCCCATTCTGGAGGGCAGAGTCACTGGTGATCCCCCTACAGACTATTCTAAGAGAGACACTGGCAGCAAAGGACATTGGGGTAGACCTAGAGCAAGGCAATCTCCTTTGCAAAAATGCTCCTATGCCTGTGGGTAAAGCAGAAACTGGCTCTTTGAAAGCCATGTCCACAGCCCCATTCCTCTTTCTGCAATGACTCCGAAGGCAGCCAGCAACAAAAGCAGCTAACACGTAGAGGGCTGCATGCAACTGCAACAGCCCACTGCCGCAAGCTTCTCTTCTTGGCTCTCATGGCGCACAGCTTTGTCCAACAGGAAACCAGCCTAGCCCTATGGAGTCCCCAACAGATGCTTAGTCCATCTGCCCAGGCAGCATGCAGCCTTCTAGTGAGCTGGAAAGAGGGAGAGAGACTCACAAAAGCAAGAAAAAAAAATTGAGAAATGAAAGACAATTAGATAAAAAGTCCTAAGTAGTAAGAAAAGACCAGAGAGAGGGGAAAAAAGCACAGCTAAAGCCAACCCTGGATCTACCCTCTCAGAATATGCATGCAGGGGAGCCTGCAAGGTCTAAGCAACTGATATTCACCACAGTTTGCTTCCCCTCATTCTTCTTTTTCTGCTTTTTTCCCCTCCAGAGAATCACTGGTCACTGAACATTTTCTTATTAGTCCTTCCCTTTCTGCTGGAACTGACTTAGCTCAGAGTTCTGACTGGTTTTCAGTTGTAGAGAGAGGAGCCCACAGACAATTACAAGAACACCATCTGTGATGTGGGAAGCATAATAGTTTGCCTCAAACATGACTTTACTTACTGTACAATAAAAAATAAAAATTCAGCAACATCTTCCACATAAAACTCAGGCAGTGCTGCAAACATCTTCGGGACATCAGGATTTAAAGGCAGTATTATGCTGTGGAATAGAAAAGACAATGACAGGGTTAAAAGGAGGACAGCAGAATCCCATCGTCAAATAATATCTTCTGCACTCTCCTACAGAATTGCCGAATAGCCCTTTACAGATATCCTCATAAATATTTGAAGTTTTAAAATTCAATCTCAGCACTTCCGATTAGCAAAACATAACTCAGGATTTTACAGCGGTGACTGAAATAACTACATAAAATCAGACTTACAGTCTAAAAACAGTCATTCATTGACAAGAAGCAATCACAAATTTAGGAATCCCAGGAGGTGGTAATGTTGAGGTAGAGACAGCCGGTATCAGATATTTGAGATAGTGATTTACACACCCAGCCCTGAAACTCACTTGGGGTAGGCAGGGTCGAGGATTCGAAGCAACAGCTGAATCACCATACCATAAAAATTCAGACACCGCCTCAGGAAGTTCTCATCTAGCAAACCAGCATCTGCACAAGCCTTGCACCGCACCAGTTTCTGCAGGAGGAGGGAAGATGCACACAAAAGGCTAATCAAGAGCAAGATACAAGAAACACAGTATAAAGATCAAATCCATCCACTCCACTCAACACTCCCAATAATTAAGACAGTTCTGCCCCTCCCTCCACACACAATATTTTATCATTGCCCAAAGAACAGGACACTTAAAAAAATCCCCCAATATATCAACAAAGACAGATGAGTACAGCTCAACTAGATCCACAAGGAGAAAACCTTCACTGACTTGTAGTTAAGGAGCAAACACTCCAACAGTAAGAACAGGAGAGTTAAGAAGATAGAAGATCTGAGAAATTGTCAGAAAAAGCTGTCTAGATGGTACAGAGTAGAAAACTGCTATCCATGTACAGTTACAACAATTGAACAGGGTACTGAAATTCATAATGAAGGATTCCAGTGCATCCACTTTGGAAAGAGCTCAGGACTGAGAGCCAGGAGTTCTGGACTTCTAAATCCAGTTTAAATAGAAACTGTCTGAAGCCATGAGCAAGTCACTCACCCTCTTTGCTGTTATTTATCCATCCAAGAAATGGAAACAGCAACATCATCGTTTCTCAGAAGCGTGTTGCAAGAACTGACCTGTAATCTGCTTTTACATTTTGAATTGCTCTATAAGTGCTAAGCAGTCTCATCCTGTATTGTACTGTGCATATTATATAGTGTTATTAAGTCAACAGGTATCATACAACAGTGTAATATATTGAAAACAATCCTCCTATGCACCTAAGATATTTTGAAACATCTATGAAAACATGGTTGCTAGCACACCTCTTCCGTTGGAAAAACACAAAAACAAAAAAAACCCACTACTACTACCATCACCACCACCACACCACACAGGTTGACAGGGCCAGTTAATTGTCATCCTAACTAGTTACAAACCTTAAGTTGTGTTTTACAGCGTTTTAGCATTTCTCGATGTCTGGTAGCTAGAGGAGACTCCTTCCATTGACTTTCATTGTTTTTCAAATCTTCCACAGTCCTGTAAACCACATGAAATCACTCGTGGTGACAGTAAAGGGGGCATATGTTGACAGCAGATAAAACATTTACTCTACCTAATTTCAAGTTACAAAGGAAAGAAATTTGGGAAGAAAGAAAAATGAGATTACAAAAATTCATCACCTTAGTAGAAACTATCTCTCACATTCACCAGGACAGCAAGTTGCTCTTGCATCTTTTGAAAGGGAAAACAAAAATCTTGGGATACACTAAGTACACTAGTTCCACAACTGAGGACTCCATTAAGCAAACAAGAACCACAGCAAAAAAATATTACTGGGGAGACAGTGGGGAAAAGGATTTCCCCTCCAGACACATTCATCATTTTATCACATTTCAAATACTTGGTTTATACCAAATTCACAATCTCTACAAAAAGCAGAGTTAAAATCATGTAATTAAGAACAGTAACCCTGTATTAGAGCAAGGCTGATCCAGAACATCTGACAGGCAGGCAAGCAAAGGCCATATCTCATTCACCCCCCCAAAGTACGAGCAGAGAGATGAAAAGCAGAAGCTACTAGAGGAAGATGGGAAGGTTGGTATCAGGAACGGTTCAAAATACCTTCCTCTCCTTTGTAGGACAGATACAAATGCACTCCCAGCACCTCTCTCTCAACCTCCTTCTAGAAAAGATTTCTCTTGGCAGACCCCTTCCCCATGCACAACCCCCATTACAATTCAAGCCTGTGGGGAAAGAGCACAAGCAATGGGAAAACTTTTCATGCTCTCCCCTTCAGTGCAAGGCCCATCATTATAACAAAGATTAAGTTTTGCCCCCTCCACCATGGTCACAGTCAGCCTAGATCTAACACGGGATAAAAGTGAAGTGCAATGACTATGTCACATCATCCACACGAAGCTATTCAAGTCTCAGCATTTGGACCTAATTCATTTAAAGTAGCAGCTGATTAATATTTTGTGTATGTTGTATTAATCTTAATGTATTTTAGATTTTATATTCTACACTGTTATGATTCTATTTCCTACCACACCTGGATGTAAACTAGTCTCTCTCCATACCCCAGCCTCCATCTGCTGCAGATTATTATCTGACCTTAATTCTTTCATTAGTGACATCAAAATATATGGCCTGAATTTACAGAGGGCTAAGCGTTTCCTGATAAGTGTTGAGCATGCATGGAAATAACTCATGATTGACAACACTACATTCCAAAGAAGGAAAAAGAGGAGTGATTTCTTTTTTAAATCCAGGATCTGGTTTATTTGAAAACACTTGTTTGTGTAAAACATGTGTTGACTGTTCACACACAGATATCTACAGCTTTTCTAGCCTTTTGTAGGTCTACACTGTAAATAAAGTTCAAAAATCCTCCAACAAACCTGCCATCTTAATGTCAAGGGACTTTTACTAAGTGAATGCAATTATAAATAGTGGAAAACACTGATACTGTGCAATCTGCTCTTATTTATTTTAACTGAGCAAGTTCCTTGAGGTTTAGAGATCCAGCAGCTATAAAAAGTTTATTTGGATTCATGTCAAGAAAAAGGAAAAACAAAAGCATCTTCATGTCAGCATCAGAACTTAAGCAATTTTTTTAAAATGACAAACCAGTAGTTGAATTACATATGCAGTTACCATAGAATTCACTGTGAAAGCTTTTATACAATGAAGGAGATCATCTGATAGCCACAAGGAACAGATAAAAATCTGTTCTGCAGGCAGATATACAACATCACAGACATAGGAGATAAGCTGCTTGTCAAGCAACCACTACAGTGACCTGCATGTCAGAGGTACATGTGCATTCACCTCCACAGCAATGCAAAAGGCTTAAAGCACTGACATCCCCAATCATACCACTGACTGTTCAACAAAGTTTAAACTATCAAAACATTGCAACTCTGTACACCCTACGATGCTTTCAAGAACTGTCCAGTGCTCTCTAGGACTACCCCTAGGAGTTTGCGATCCTATCTAGAAACCGCATTCACGATCGATGCCATTGCACATTAGCACAGCCAGAACCTGCAGACACAAAATACTCTGCAAGAGCTATCAAAGCAGCAGACTGACCAATCGATAAAACTCCCCAATACTCCATAGCATGGATTTACTTAAGTTGTAGTTTTAATTTCCATCAAATTTGCAAGAACCATAATCATACATAGGAAAGCACCTACGATTCAAGGTGGCGGGGAAAACTGTAGAACACATGCTAGGTAACTAACACAATTTCTAACCTGTTGAGCTCCCTGATGGCCCGCAGTCTACGGATATAGCGGCGGCAGCTTGGCAGGATGGAGAGGTGATGGGCATGCAAGGTTAGGAAGAAGCATTCTGTTGGGAATTTCGGTTCAGAACATGGAGACTGATCCCTGTCTACAAAAAAAAAAGAACAAAACAGGATGAAGGAGAGTAAGAAAAAAGCTACATGAATTAGTGCAGGGGTGGCCAACCTTAGCCTGAGAAGGAGCCAGAATTCACCAATGTACATTGCCAAAGAGCCACAGTAATATGTCAGCAGCTCCAGCTCCTCCCATCCACCGGCGCCTCACGATCGGCTGTTTCCTGGCATGTAGGAGGCTCTGGGGGGAAGGGGTGAGGAGTGAGGGCACAGCAGGCTCAGGGGAGGGGGCGGGAAGGGGTGGAGTGGGGGCAGGGCCTGTGGCAGAGCCATGGATTGAGCAATGAGCACGCCCCAGCACATTGGAAAGTTGGCACCTGCAGCTCCAGCCTGGGAGTCGGTGGCTATACAAGGAGCCGCATATTAACTTCTGAAGAATTGCATGGGGCTCTGGAACCACAGGTTGGCCACCCCTGAATTAGTGCTCAGACTTCGAATAACTCACTTCTGTGCAGTCTTAAAACAAGCTATAAAAGCAACAGACAGTCCCAAGCAAAACATTTACAGTAGTGAATATTTTGGAATATCCCTAATACCAGAAGAAAAGGTAGAAAATGCATGCTCTTTACTCACAAAGCTCAGCCATCCAGCCTGTAACATCCTCCATTGTTGCTTTTACTCTTGTCTCATCCATTGGGACGGTGATGCGACACCTGGGGTGGAATATATAGGTGGGATCAACTGTTTCTAGCTTTATCTTCGTGCTAAGCTGCTGCAGCACCCACAGGAAGTTGAGCATAAAACCGTCCGTAGACACCATCCGATCATCAGTCTGCAAGACAAGGGAGAGAAAGTGAATGCTAGAAGATGCCAGCTTAGAAGAAAGCAGCAGGCAACAGACCATTGCAGTTGGCAGGCCTGGAACTTCAGCATCCATCACTAATGCACAATGCACGGTTAAACAAAACAAAACAAGGATCAGGACCTCTAAGGCTAACTAGAATTTGAGCAGCTGTAACTGTTAACAGCATTTCCCTGCCCTGTTTATGTCCAACACCAGTCATTTTTATGAGTACTAAACGCACACACTTAGGGGAGAGAAAAGAGGGGGAAAGAGTCTCAAAGAGGGTTCTTAAAATTTTTTAGCATAGGGACAGCCAGGAACAGGAAAGATTCATAAAGTAGCAAAGCTTCAGTTCTTAAATTTTACCATACAAGCAACATTTCCAGTAGTTTTGTTTCAACTTGAAGAAAACAGTTCTGCAGATAGTTTCAAAATGTTTGCATCTATGGAAAATGGGGACTTCAAGACACTGACGCCTCAAATTGCACACATTTAGGATACACAACCAGGTTATACCAAGGCAAAAATCAACCAACCAATGACAAAAAAAAATCAGCCCTGTTGCTTCAGTGGAATTGTGCCAATTCTCACTAGGGATTACTCAAATTTACAAGAGCCACAAATAAAGTGAGTGCTTGGCAGTTTGTTAACTGGGGGAGAAAACAGGTTTTCATTGCAATCAGTTGGTGGAAGCAGCCAGGAAGAGCATATATCAACAAAAAGGCACAAACTTGTATACTAACAAATTTAGGTATTTCAGTACTCAGAGAGGAGTGAGCAAACTAGATTCATTTAAAAAAAGAACAATGTACGGAAAAATAATATTGAAAGAATTACCTAGATGGAATTCCTGGTTGCTTCAGGCCCTAGAATGTCTGTTGTCTTCTGTTAAAACTACCACCACATCAATCACTTAGAACTATTTGTGCTAACTACAGCTGTGAATCAGAGGAAGAAAGTTCAGTCTTTACCTGCATCTGTGCCTTCTTCATGTTGGCATCAACAACAGCTGCCATGTAACTGAGAGCTGCCTCTCGAGTTTCACCATTCAGCAAAATACTATGTAGAATCTTAAACAGTTCTTGCTGAAATTTTAAATGAAAATTATGTCACTGAACAGCAAGATCATGAAAACAGCAGCACGGAGACACATGTGCATATTCCAAGTATTATACAGAATCTAGTATTCTGTTGTAGTCTTCTTGTAAAGAACACAGCTATCCCAGGTACGAAAAATATTTATTTACAGAAGAATGTTATCTACACAAGATTATAGCTTAAAAATCATGGCAACTTAATCACTATGGAAATGTATCAGGTCTTGTTTACTCATTCACCCACAAGAACTGAACGTTGATAGAAGTTTGTGAATGATCAATAGTTGGTGATAACAGTACCGATATTCCTTGGGTTTGGGTAGGGAGCTTACAGAAAGATCTCCAATTTTGTGGCTCTCTGGTTAAACTCTTCTTGCTGAGTTTTCACTCCCCCTCTTCTTAACTAATTTATTGTTTAGTGGATGGACTATATTTTGTAAAACACTTTTCACCCATGTTATGGAAACCAAAAATTTAAAAAAAAAATAAAATAAAATAAAAAATCCTCTGGCAGCAATTAAATATCAGGACACTTACCCTTGCAGATTCCAGGTAATGCTGCAATGACTGGCTAACAACCCGCGTGTTTTCAAGAGTAATGGCAGGCCCTGAGAAATATTTTTCAACCACTTTAGTCTGAAAAAAAAAAAAAATTGCAAGGAGTACAAACATCTTTTGGGTTCTTTTCCAGACGAGAGACTGCAAACAGCATAGTACTTACATCATCTTCAGCAAAGACAGAGAGACTGAAGAAAGCTCCAAGATAAGAAAGTCTTTGCAACTCTCGTCCTGCACCTGGGCTTACAGGTTTAGGCAACCACAAGGGCAAAGAAACAACCTACCAAAAAAAAAACAAACGGAACAGGAAAACATTGATAGCGCAGCCAAATCACTGACATTTTTCAATCTGCACTGCCTTCTTTCCTTATTTGCATTTGACTCTGTTGATTCTTCATCATCCCATCATACTAGTAGCAAAATGATGAAGTCTGTAGTGTTTCAGAAAGCTAAGAAAAGCAATCTTTGTTTTATGTCTCTCTGAACTTCAGTTATTTCTCTTCTCAAGGGGAGGCAACTCAATTTATTGATGTTCTTCTTCCTTGGACAGATCTTAATTATTGCTTACTATTAAATACCGTAGCTCCCGAGGGCCCCCAATGAGGGTCCAATCGTGCAAGATGCTACACAACCATGTAACAAGAGTCTCTGGCCCAAATAACTTATTGAAGAAATCTGGATGGTCCATCATCTAATGGATGCAATTCTCAACTAGATTGGTATTGCCAAAGAATATAAAGAATAAACCATGCCATCAGCAAGAAATGCATGCAAATTAGTGATGAGGTAGGCCTAACGGATTGGATATGAGGATGGAAACCATGAGTTCATGGCCTCCAGTCCTGGAAGCCACTGACTTTTTGTCTGGCTTTGGAGCAAGAGACTTCTGTGTGCCTCAGTTTCCTAACTGTAAAACAGGAATACCACCTACCTAACTTTTAAGGGTGTTGTGAGAATAACTAATGTTTCCAGAATGTTTTGAAAACAAAAATGCTATGCAGAAGTTAAGTATTATGTAGCAGAAATTGTTACATTTAGGTGTGCGGACACTTACCAAACTGCATATAGGGTGCGTTTTCCCAAACTTGATTTCACACAGTTCACCTAATGCCTGTAAAAAAAACAAAACAAAACAACAACAGTTCATTCAGGTGCATTTCCCCGAGCACCCTGGCTATCAGTGAAAAGATAAACATGTTAGAATGCTTAAAAGGCCAGATCCTGCTCCAGTTAAGTCAATGGTAAAACATTAATTGTCTACAAAGGAAACAGGATCTAAATATGCTGATGCACACCTTGCAACTATCTCAGCTTTTGTGTCTTTTCAGGTTGCCTCAAGAAAGCCAAATATACTTTTTAAAAAATTAGCGGGGCAAGTTATTTGCTTGTTCGATACATAATGATCCTGTTGGTGAACTCCTAAACTGCCATACAAGAGTCAGTAAGAGTAATAAACAAGGCTATTGTCCTACACACACGAAGGCCTTTGTCTTACGACCCAAAGTGGAACATCGTCAGATGAATGCTGAGGCCTGAAACAAAGAATCCTATCTACAGTCTCTAACTCAAGCTAAACTGCAGAGGAGAAGGAAATCAAGAGGCTATAAAGGAGGATTCTGAAAATGCAAAAATAACGTAAGCTTGTACATGTTCCACTCCTTGTATTATATGTTTTCATACTTCTATTACAGTGTATCAAGTAAACTACTATTCCACCCTTTCCCACTTCAAGGCTCTGCAGAAGAGACTCCAACAAGTGTTGTTAGCCTATGCTGAAGCTGACAGCTGAATTTCACAAGGGGTTCAAATTATTTAAGGTTGGGTAGCCTGAAACTAGGGGAACATGGAACAAGCAGAGAAAGCTTTTTTTAAAATGTGAATCATTGACATCAAATTTGCTTAGTTTGCAAAGTCCCAAAGTGGTTTAAGCTAATTGGCAGAACTGCAAACTCAACCCAAATCTGAAGCAGTCCTCTTTCTGGTTCAAAAAATCATCAGTAAGAGATCCTACAATCTGATTTTATCTACAATAAATGGGATAGAGGAGAATCCTGCTTGCTGTTTTGTATCTGTACTTGGCTCAGCAACGTTGCCTACAAGAATAAAAGTTTGGTTGTGTCAATAAATCAGCAGTTCTGCCTCAAAGATACATTGGGAGTTGATCTATTGAGTAAAATAAAGTCACTTTTCAGTGGTCAGACTGCCATGAGTTTCCTACAGTAGACAGCCATGGGTTTGATTCATTTTGTTTATAGAATAATGGACATTAATTGGCTAGGCTGAGAGCAATACAAAAAACAAACAGAAGTAAATAGTGGAAAGTATATTACATTTTTTTTTCTATTTCTGATCACTTAGGGTTTTTAATAACAGGTAAGGGATTTATTTAGTTTTTAAAACACGTGGCATGTGCACTAATGGGCGAGACCTCATCTCTCATCTGCATCACCAGGATATAAACATTTGAATAGACTTTGCATAAAGTCTACTGTACATTAAGCCTGAGACACTATGAGCGCCACAGATTCCAGCTGGTCATTACTCTTTATTACTCACCTCATAACACTTGAAATTTCCAACATGAGGTCAATGTTCAATAAGACATTTGAAGCAAGCCAAACAGGGTTAATTAAAGTTACTTTGAACAGAGTCTGCATCAAATATTGGGTATCTTAAAGCAAGAGCTGCTAAAAAGGAATAGTCCTTACCATAAGGGGATATTTAAAATTGTCACTATCAAGGGAGCACTCTTTGGAAGCAAGAGCCAGGCCTTGTAAGATAGGGATAAAGATCTGTAAAAACAGAAATACATTACTTATACACTTCAGAATGGGAACCAATAAGACATAGGTGAAGCCACAGCCCCGGGCAGCATAAAACCCCTGCTCACATCTCAAATACTAATATGTCCACAGAAGGAAACAAAATATAAAGTCTGTTCTGTCAGTTTACGTAAGTTATTTCAAAATAAATAGTAATGTTTAAATGTAAAAAGAGTAGCAAACCTAGAAGTACAACCTGAATCCAGTTCCTTTATGCTTAAGACAATGAAGTTCAGCCCATGAGACCACATCTTTTTGGTTACATTTTGAGAAGGGCATCTGGCACGCATCTTCAACACATCCAAATACAGTGTAAATGACAGATCAACTTGATGTCTGTACATGAGAACTCACTTGTGCAAACAATTAAATATTCCAAATGTGTGAGCACTTGAAAAGTTTTCCTGGTCAGTGCCAAGAACCTACATTATAGTCTAAAAAATTCTAGCAATGCAAACATGCTAATCTGGACTTGGTCATAGAGCTAGTGAAACATACAGAGAGACACTACAGCTGATCAACAATGGCAAAGCCACAACAACATTAGGGACTTGATCTAGCAAACTCTCCACAGGTGGAAATCATGTAATATAAAAATAAAAAAATACAAGAGAGATTATTGCCAAGAAGAAAGGGTTTGGGGCTTCCTTAACAGCTTGATAGCCGAGCCTTGCAGTACTCTATTGACCCATTAACTTGGAGTTAATAGTGATTATATACAGCAGAATAGTATTTTTCAGGGCAAGTAGATTTTATGCCTGTGTCAATAAATTTTAATACTGTGATAGGCATAAACAAAACAGCAGCAGTCACTGAGACTGCAAGGGAGGAAGGAAGAAGGGAGAAAATGATGAACCAAGAAGTAACACCACCCAATTACAAGGGCCCAATCACATATTGAATTTTTCCTTCTGGAATAAAAATCAAATATTTGTTTTACAAAATACAGGAGTGACCACTGGAACCCAAATAGAACTGTACTGGGTCTCTTGGATAAAGATATAAAAATCATCATCAAATCATGTTAGGGAGCCTGGTTACAACAAGGCTGTTCCCTAATCCAGTTAGGGGCATGGTTCCAATCTTGATCTTAACCATGTTCCATAGCCAATCCCTGACAGGGTATGTCTACACTGCAGCTGGAGTGTGCCTCCCAATCTGGGCAGACAGATACATGATAGCTCTGCTCGAGCAAGCAGGCTATACTCCTGGGGAAATTCTGTGCTACTGCGCACGCACATAATTAACGAGCTGTGCATATTTTTAATTTTTTGCACAGAAAAAAGCTTCAGCTGGAATCTTGCTGCAGTTCCACCTTTTGCCCACCAGCGGGCGCTGTTGCGATAAACCACAACAGCCACTCCCAGCCAGCGAGGGAAGAGAGAAAGGATGCAGAGCCTTCTTCGCAGCGAGCCAGGTTGGGAGACAGAGTGTGGGGCTGCTGGGGGGCCACACAGGGGCTCATAAGGCTAATGGAAGAGGACAGACTGGGGCAGGGGCTGAATGAGAGTGGAGGCACAGCATCACAGGCGGAGGAAGGTGCAGGGTCACATGGGCAAAGGTGGAGGGGAGTACAGCGCTACGGGGGAAGGGGTGGAGGGACACAGGGACAGGGGAGTTGTTGAGTGGGAGCACACAGACAAATAGGGACAGGGGAAGGGGTGGAGGGACACGTGGATGGGGGTTGCAAAGACACATAGGGGTGCACAGGCACATGGGGACAGGACAGATGTGCTTGACTGAATGGGAAAGGCTAGGAGTCAGCCAGGGTCTGCATGGGGGAAGCTCCCTAACTGTCCCTCCCCACCCCCCCAAAGAAACAGTTCCATATTTTTCTCACCCATACCCAACAACCCTCTAAATTCACACCCAGGCTCCTTTCAAACAATTACTTCCCTCTCCCTCAGCGCCTCCTTTACCCTTGACTCCGCCAAGGATTTGCACTGCTTCTGAGCAGTGTGGGAAATACGGTTCTGTATTGTAATTTAAATGAATTATTACTCTGAGTTCTGTATTAATATGCCTAGTAAGGAATCTATTTCTCAAAAAACTCTGACTCTTTTGTTGTCTGTATTGTTACAGACATACTTGCTGACAGGTATTTTGAAATAAATAACCAAAAATAATTGAAACTGGTGTGATTATATTGTGTCATTCTGACAAATAAAATATGCAGAATTTTGCAGAATTTGAAAATTGTGTACAGAATTTTTTATTTTTTGGTGCAGAATTTCCCCAGAGTAATCCTAAAAATAGCATGGGCTAGCCACCTGAGTACAACCCCGCCCAACACTGCGGATCTGAACTTGAGTGGCGAGCCTGAGTACAGCTAACACGTGAGAGGATCCCAGCTGCAATGTATACATACCCACAGTATCTTAGACACACTCCAGGTCAAAGCACGCTTTGATAAGAAGAGCCCAAATAAGAGTTAACACGTAAATTAAATGACCTTTTATCTCTGCAAATTGATATTTAATTCCAGATAGGAACGATAATATTTCTTCTGGACTCTCATTCACATGAGCATATTAATTAAAAGCAGAGGAGTTCGTAGTGATCAAATACTTTTCCAAAAGCCAGTTCCTACTGGTGTTGATGCATTTGCTCCTCACTCATATCAGTATAATTTTCAGGAGTTAATACAATGTAAGAATTTCTGTCCATTTTCTAAAGCAGTGGTGCTCCAACTTTTCCAGTCATGTCCCCCCTTACTAGTATACAATCTGTCCACGCCCCACCTCTGTTACTGCACAGCCAAGGCTTCCTCAGCAGTGGAGCTGTGGGGGCAGAAATGGGGATGGGGAGTAGCTGGGCCTTGAGGCGAAGCGGGGCTGGAGGCAGAGTGGGGCTGGAAGTGTGGCACGCGCGCTCCCTCCCCGCCCCCGCCATGAGGGCTGGCCCCAGCCCTGCTGTGTACCTCTCCAAAATGTTCTTCTCTGCACTTTGACAACCATGTTCTAAAGATACTAGAGATTTTATACCATTCTGAGTGCCGCTTTGCTGTGAGTAAATCATGTCATAGCATGTGGGTGTGCTAGAGCCAGTAACAACCTGACTGACCTGCTTTGGCATTAAATTGTGAAGTAGAAGTGTGAACTAGTAATTAAAGCACAGGACTAGGAATCAGGAGAACTGGATTCCAATTTCTGGCTCTCCATTGACCCACCCTGACATCTAGGGCAAGTTGTTTACTCTCTGTCTCAGCATTTTCATTTCTAACGGGGGATAATAATGGTTCCCTATCTTAGAGGGTGTTGTGAGGCATTAATTAATTAATTTTCATGAAGTGCTTATAAATCCTTGGGGTGAAAGTGTTGTAGATGCAAACTATTATATTATTAATTCATTCTGTCCTTGGCAAGATGAACAAAAACTAACATTTCTAAGTGTGTGATTTGGGAAGTTCGCCATTTTATGGATCAGGGAAATTTGGATAGAATGATCTGAAAAGTGACAGTCCAAGACAAAGCCTTACAATGGGATACTACCATATGCAAAAAAATTTCTGGTAGTATGCTTCAATGTTTCATTAAAAAAGTGCTGCTTATTAAGGAATCTTCTTTACACAACAAATCTATAGATTTATAGATTTGCTTACTTTGAGTAAAACTTCATACAGAGCTCAGTCATTCTTTTTGAATCCCTTTACCAAGTGAAACAAGAGAGACAGCAAACTCCCCCAATTACTTAATTACTTGCCAGTCCAGGGAGCAATGGTTCTCAAACTGTGGTCTCAGAATGTGATCTGCAGAACAAAGAGTTGGACAGCCACTCCCTTGGATAGTTCATGCACTAAGTTGTAGAGTATGCTAATACTTGCAAGTTGAACTAGCCTCTTACCTGTTTAAACATCTCTTCATCCTGGTGAGTTGTTCTCACCAATTCTTGGATGAAGCCAAATGGAAGATTCCTACACAGCATGTATGGTACCAACAAAGACTGCTGCTGCAAAGACCTTTATTCATATTAAAAAAAAAAAAAAAAAGTGGGAAGGAAGGGAGAGACATCTTTCAGAAAAAACTGGCTTCACATTTACTGATACACCCAGATAATGGAATGTCATACCTGAGACAATTACTTCTTTCAGAAGCAACTAACCAAGTCTCCCCAAGTCCTTGTACAAAGATAATCCTGCAGGGGATGCTGCTGCCAAAACCCTACTTTGGTCTAATGTGGTTAGAAAACTATGGCCTATATAAATGAATTGGTTCTCCCCTCTACCCATCTCTACTGAAAAGACCCTTTGTTAGGTTCATCCTAGTGAAGCAACAGCATTAGGTTTGTTCCACTAATCTCAACCTGTTCATTTTTCCAACTTTAAGGAAAGGATGAAGTCACAGTATTTTCCAAATTAACACTTACTTTTTGTAAGCACATCCTATGAAACCGAATGTTGCCTTTTTCTCTATTACACACAAAAACACAGTTGTTACTCTAGGGTTGTTCACCTATATAAGTGGGTGGCTCGCATTATTTTTGAGAAGTTTATTGAAGAATTTGTTTTGAACAGATACACGTAAATTACTTGGATTTTAGCAAATAGGAAAAAAAGTCAGGTCAGTGTTCTCGTTTGACTCTGCCCCTTTAAATACTTACGGCTTGTCTATACCAGAAGTGCTACCAATATAAATCCCCATGTGGACACACTTACTCCAGAGTAAATGTGACTTTTTTGGTTTAGCTTAAACTGCTTTCCAAAGTGACAAACTGAACGGGATAAAGGCACTCCTATACTGGAATAAGAGCATCCACATGAGGGTTATATTGGTAGAATTACAGCAGTTTAAATTCACACCTTAGTTTATACTGGTACATCTTCCCATATAGACAAACCCTGAGCCACTGTAATCATAGAACTGGAAGGGACCTCGAGGGGTCATCTAGTCCAGTCCCCTGCACTCATGGCAGGACTACGTATTATGTAGACCATTCCTGACAGGCATTTGTCTAACCTGGTCTTAAAAATCTCCAACGATGGAGATTCCACCACCTCCCTAAGCAATTTATTCCAGTGCGTAACCACCCTGACAGTTAGGAAGTTTTTCCGAATGTCCAGCCTAAACCTCCCTTGCTGCAATTTAAGCCCATTGCGTCTTGTCCTATCCTCAGAGGTTAAGAACAACAATTTTCTCCCTCCTCCTTGTAACAACATTTTATGTTCTTGAAACTTATGTCCCTTCTCAGTCTTCTCTTTTCCTGATTAAACAAACCCAATTTTTTCAATCTTTCCTCATAGGTCATGTTTTCTAGACCTTTAATCATTTTTGTTGCTCTTCTCTGGACTTTCTTCAATTTGTCCACCTCTTTCCTGAAATGTGGCACCCGGAACTGGACACAATATTCCAGTTGAGGCCTAATCAGCAGTAGAGCAGAAGAATTATTTTCTCATCTTGCTTACTACACTCCTGCTAATACATCCCAGAATGATGTTCGTTTTGCAACAGTGTTACACTGTTGACTCATATTTACCTTGTGATCCCACTATGACCCCCAGATCCCTTTCCGCAGTACTCCTTCCTAGGCAATCATTTCCCATTTTGTATGTATGTCATGATACATACTATACATACTGACTGAAAAGATGTCCCATTTCTGTCGCTGATTTTACTCAATTTTTATCTACTTCTGTAGACAGACACACATCGAACACAGAATTTGTATATTTCATGACCAACATCAACTTTACTCACCTTGGTTGTGTTAAGGATCCCTGTAGTACCAAAGCAGCATGGGAAATGCACTGTGATCGGATGTTGCTCAGTAACTGGCTAACCGCTAGCTGGCTACACATCTAAGAAGAAAGAAAGAAACCATTTTAATGCAGAATGAAAACATTCATAGATAAGACACATAGGAAATGCAGTGAACAACTTCTGCATTCATGCAGTCTAAGCAAACAGATGGCATATTTCCAGCTAAAGATTCTTCAGATTACATTTAATGAGCTGAACTAAGTATTTTCCATTCCACTGCTGTCTACAAGGGAGAAGTTTAGGTTTACGTTAACAGCAAAGGCTGATGGTCTTAGAGATGTGGTTCTATGTGGAATAAACAATTTAAAGCAAATGCAAGGGAATAGATAGATGCATCTCAGTCCCCAAAACAATGTCAATTTTACTGATATCAAACTAACACAGATGGGGGTTCTGAACACAAACATTAAAAGGCCAAATAGGAATTGAAGTAATGAGACTTACAAAATAAAACTTCTCACAAAATTTTTATAGAGCTATCATCTGCTGCAAACCATCTTTCCCCTCTGGGCAATGTAAAGTAAGAGAAGACAGTTTGAGCTTCAGTGCTGTTGCCAATATGGCTTTACTTTTCTCTACAATACCTTTGGTGCTTTTCTCTCCTCTATTCCAACTCTGTCAAAACACTCAATGAGGTAGTTCAGCATCTCTGTCTCCTTACAAGTTTCAATGCTGAAATGGTCACTGCAGGAATCACAAGCACTTGCTCCAGCAGAGCCTCCCACACTTTAAAAAAAGGAGAAAGAAAATCAAGATGTATATCCCTCTTCTACCAATGTCTTGCATGCTCCCAACTTTCTCTGGCAAACAACTTCTTTGTAGCAGAAAACCCCATCCCAACACACCACACTCATGCAGATAAGACCTGTAAAAGTAGGTTTGTTTGTGTGACCTGAGCAGAAGCTGCTAAATGTTTTTGTCCAGATCTTGGGATTGGACCATATTCTCACATGATTCACTCTCCCTGCTTGCACAGCAAGTAGCATAATGCAATTCCTAAAAGGGGATCAAGACCGACCAGATGTCTGACAGATGGTAAAAGGCATGTAATGATAACGGGCCTTTATAAAAGTGATTCTCAAACTGTGGATTACAGAGGTGAAGCAGACACCAGTCTTCAAGCAGTAATGCTTCTAGCTAGTTGTACCCTATCCTGCACTCTTTTTTATGGTTTCCAACTTATCTGACCAACAACACTGAAAAAGTAACAAAACCCCTCCACACAGCTGCTTCACGTTCTCTCTTGGGCATCTACTGTAAATTCAACCACAATCACACTTTTTTTTGTATAATTTTTTATTCAGATTTTTTGAGCACACACATGTAGTTAGTATAATCAGTCACAGAAGCCATGCTAGTTTCTTCCTATTATATCATGCAACAGAATTCTATTTTTAAGTTACAATTTCACATAGTTTGGCTGGGACTGAAGCGACGTTTACTGGGCTGTAATCCTCCAAATCACAGAAATGTGAATCACAGAAGTGTAAGTCGTTTCCTCCTCCCCGTAAGTAAATTTGTACTAAGTAATGTAAGTTTATGTAAATAGACTGGCTTCTGGTAGGTGCATGTTCTGTTTTTTTAAGATAGGTTCCCCATTTGCTTCCCTCCAGGTCTCCAATACAGCAGCTCGCTTTTACGAGACTTCTTGTTTTCATTAGCAGCTCAGCCACTGCATTCTTTTGTTCTGTCAGAATTCTTGGATATACCACCTGGTCCTGACAACATGTGGTGCTTTTGGTTATCAACTAATACCAGCACCTCCCTTTTGATACCTCAATCTCTGGCAATATCTCATATTTATTCCCTTGGGATAGGCAGTCATCACCATCCTCTATTTTACAGACATGAAAAATGAGAGATGAAGTGACTTGCCGAAGGTTACACAGGAAATCCATGGCAGACACAGGAACAGAACCCATTTCTCCTGGATCCTCGATCCTGAGTCTTTCTCTCCAATTTAAACTTGGCAACTTTATGTAACATGCAAATCCCAGTTTATAAAAGTGGTTTACAACTATATAGTCACTACATGTAACAAGTTTAAAAAAACCAAAAACTGTCATTATGGGTGGTCAAACAGCTATTCTTCACAAGGCCATTTTTAAGGGTCTCTGGGTATGTCTACACAGCAAACAAAAACCTGTAGCTGGCCCCTACCAGCCAACTTGGGCTCATGGGATTCGGGCTGCATGGCTGTTTCACTGCTGTGTAGACATACCCAGAGACCCAGGGTTTGGGCTGGAGCCCAGGCTCCAGGACCCTGTGGGGTGCAAGGGTCTCAGAGCTCAGGCTCCAGCGCAGAAGTCTACACAGCAAAGAAACAGCCCCACAAGCCTAAGTCAGCTGGCATGGGCCAGCCGTGGTGTTTATTTGCTGAGTAGACCTACCATCTGTCTCTCATTACTAACATCTCCACCCCAATCACCAGTTTAACCCTACTGACATGGTATTGGTTCAAGCTTTAATCCAGTGTAAAACTACACATACATATGAGTTTCTCCGTGTACTCTCTTTCTTGTACCTTGAATTTCTCACCTCCAGCCTGAAGATCACCACCTTTATTTGTACAATATCAATTTATTTGTAAAAAAGATTTTTCACGCCAAGGTTAGTTACTTTGTAGGCAACTTCATTTTAGCAATGGCTGAAATTATTCCGATACACAGCTGTATATGTTTATTACATAGGCAAAGTGCTTTAAAACCTTCAAAATGAAAGTTGTTGCATAAACGTTAGATTAAAGTATGAACATGACAAACTGATATTCCACTGCAGTCAGTCAGAACGTCAGGACATAATACATCAGCAAAGTCACCTGAAGTGTGGTAGTCCCATAAGATATTACACTGCATGAATTGTGTTAACTAACATCTGGGCTACGTTTTCAATAGCACAGATGTAATATTTGAAATTAAAGCAAAGGGTGAAAACAACACAGAATTTCTTGTACACAAAATGCAAAACTTCAATCTGCATAAAATATTTCTCCTGAAATTACTCAGTGTGGATTGGAAGATGGGAGTTTATTAAACTCACCTCCCTGAGAATCTTCCAACAGTTATTTATAAAATCTACAGATTTTAACTTTGTCACAATAGTTATGTTCTAATGTTCCACCGCGGACAACCACAGACGTAAGAGCTGGAAAGGTCTTCTAGGACTTTCCTCCACTCCTGTGCAGCACTGCATTTCCCCTACATGGCACTTTCCAGTTCTTTGTCTAATCTAGTTTTAGAAGTCCCAAGCAATGGTGCTTCCACACACTTCTCTTGGGAGGATACTTCAAATCCTAATTAGATTTTCCTAATTTAGGAATTTTTAAAAATTAATATTCAGACTAAATTCTTCTTTTAAAAAGTCTCATTGCTATACTCAAGATATAAACACTCTATGTGGAATACATGAGACAATAAGCACAAATTTGCAAGCATCATGAGTAGATTTGTATTGCTATGAAGGAGCCGTTATAGTATCCTAAGACAGATCAGTGGCTGGCCGCCATCAGCCTGGGACAGGAAACTGAAGACGGGTGTAAAGTATTCAATATGCTAGAAACGTGACAGAGCTACTGTTTTCCAAAGGGCATGCTTCCCATATACTATTCCTATACCCATCTCCTAATTTGGCTATGTGCAAAAGAAAAGAATAGATACCGAACATGTTTCTTGTAGATATTATTTAATGGGGATAATGGAACCAATATCACCAGGGCCAGACCAGGAACACAGATCACCTAGAACTGAGCAACACGCATTCGGGAGTTGTTTATTTTTTCATTTCAGAAGCTGCATCCTACAGCAAAAATGTTTCAAAGGAGGTTGAGACACACTGATAACACATTCAGCCATTTGCTGTTATTCTTCTCCAGCTACACATATCATTATAGAAGATCCTGCCCTTCATTGTCATTCCTAGAAGCATCTTCCTGCCTGGCCCATTCAGTATTCAGCAAATTGTATTATATTTGCAAGGCTAATGGGTAACCTCCACATGCAGTGAACATATCCAATTCTCATCTTGTTGTCATGTATTTCAGTGCCATATAAACTGAAGAACTTCACAGTAGGTCTTTGATTCACAATAAGCTATCTTTCTCCCCAACTCAGTGTCCCAAATGTATCAGTCTTCACCACCCGTCTCCACTGGCTGCTGATTTCTACTTGTGCATTTGAGAATCAGGTAACATGTGCTTCGCAGATTAGAGGAAAGATGCTCAGCTGGAGTAAATTGCTGTAGCTCCATTAACTCCAATGGAACTGCACCAATTTACATCAGTTGAGGATCTGGCTCTGTCTTTTACTCCCCACTAACCTCTGCCCTCATTTTCAAGTATGCAGAAGAAGTGCTTGTGCAGGAGGTAGCACTGACCTTGGAAGGTATAGTTTTTGATGAGCAATATTCCTCATATCATGCATTCAAGAAGGAGTTCCACTTACATGGGCATTTCAGACTTTGTGGTCATTAAACCTGAAGGGCAACATGACTAACATTTCCTTTATTCTGAGTCATCTCTTTTTAAAAAAAGGAGAACTGGCTAACTCAGACTTAGTATGCACGTTTATCCTTCATCTCCCATTAAGACCTGTAAAGTTATCTCCTTCTTTACTTGTTTCCGAAGTTCCACTGAAGAACGCTTAAAGCTCCACAAACTGTTAGTTCCTAGAGCACCCAAACATGCAAGTTACATTCTATTTCTCCAATACCTGGACCCAAACTGGACATAAGAAAAATCACCATCTTCGTTTTCTTCATCACTACTGTCCCCAGACACATCAGAAACGGCAAGGAAGAGGAGGGAGAAAGGGTTGTCGTATATACTACCGCAACAAAAGCGACAAAGGCCATCAGAGAACAAAACAGATTTTAAAATGAAAAGACAGCAAGTAAAACTGCTATAATTTTCCTTTATAAATTATCTGTCAAAAATCTTCTTCCTAAACATGCAGCAAACAATGGTTAATACAATCCATGACATTAGAAAAAACAAAATTAAGCTAACACGCTCCATGATGCTACTGACTATGAGTTATTCACATATCAAAATAAAAACATACACACACATCTAATGAAGTAAACAAGGAAAGTCTTTAGAAAAATTACTGCATAAATGGAAGCCCTTCAATCTCACTGAATACTAAAAATCAGAGCTCTGAGCTGCTCAATTGAACCACAGCATTTGCAGAGTAAAATGAGAGCACCAGAAAGACTGTTTGTTGGTTTCTCCCTCCTGCAGAGGATGGGGGATCCTGGAAGCAGCTGGCAGAGGGCCAGGATAGTAGTACCTGTCTTTGCTGACAAAGAGGAGCTAATCATTTAAGTCTATACACTAATGGAGTCAAATCTGACATACTCCAGCAAGCAAGAGCATTCAACAAACCAACTGAAGATCTACACCAAGTTAATTACAAACCAGGAGACCTCTTTGATAGACTATCCAGCATGAGTGACTGAACTGCAATTTAAACCAAAGGAAGATAGTTTACCAGTGAGGAGGGGTGGAAAGAAGAATAAAAGGAAGGGGAAATGTATAACGATATTGCTACCTTTATGCCAATTATGTTAAATATCAAACACCGACAGAAAAAGGTTTAGTACTTTGGCAGCCAGGGCTTGTTAGCAAGTCAACGTATTAGCTCAACACAAACAGAAAAATCAATGCTTGGTAAGTAGAGTGAGCTCAGTACAGAGACAAGTTCTTCCAAACGGCATAAATGCACCACACCCTGCACTGCATATGTAATAGACACTGTTTGTGCTTGTGAATTACCTAGAAGGAATCCTGTTTAGGAAAGAAGAACGCCTGCTCAAGGTACCGGGCAAAGCAGTGGACAAAGGTGGACCCACTGTTGTGGACCTCTGTCTGGACGAGCTGAGTGGCACAGCTTGAGGACTGGTAGCCATGACTGGAGGACTTGGTGAGCTAGCTGGGATGGAGATACTCAAGGAGCGTGGGATATGAGAAGCTGAAAAGCCCCAGGGGTGGGTGATGGTATACGGGTGGTACCTCGGAGAGGATGGCTGGACTCCAGAAGGACTTGCTGCTGTGAGATGAGGGCTGACAGAAATGGAAGGCACAGATGTGGTGGCAAGTGAACTGGCTGGTGGGGTAACAGATGAACCAGTCATTGGCACGTGGCTTGAGAAATTGTAACTAGAAGCTGGACTAGTCCCATAGAGACTAAATCAATTAAGGGAGGGGAGGAGGAAAAAAAGCAGCCATTTAGGATACACAGAAGAAGGGCAAGAGAGAGACAAAATTAACAACAGAAACACCTCACTACTATTAACCATTCAGTATATGTATATTCCACGTAACACATCACATACAATGCTTTTACCTACTGAATCTCATTTTAGGCTATTTGCAATATTTAAACAATGTATCAATTTCATTGCTTGGATTATACATTTAGAAGTTAATTCATCTGAGGATCAGGCTCTTAAGTCAGTGAGGCTCCAATTACGTCATAGACTCTGATTCTAAAAGTCAGAAGGGGCTATCATGATCATCTAGTCTGACCTCCTGCACGTTCCAGTCCATAGAACCTTGGCTACCCTTTCCTGTAATAGACCCCTAACCTCTGGCTGAGTTACTGAAGTCCTCAAATCATGATTTAAAGACTTCAAGTTACAGAGAATCCACCATTTACACTAGTTTAAACCAGAAAGTGATCGTGCCCCATGCTGCAGAGGAAGGTGAAAAAACCCCAGGGTCTCTGCCAATCTGACATGGGGGAAATTCCTTCCTGACCCCACATACGGGGATCGGTTGGACCCTGAACACGTGTGCAAGGCCTACCAACTAGACAGCTGCGAAAGAATTCTCTGCAACTCAGAGTCCTTCTCATACAGTGTCCCATGACCGGCTGTTGGAAATATTTGCTGCCACAGATCAGCTACATGCCATTGTACACTGCCCCATCATACCTCCCCTCCACACACTTATCAAGTTCAGTCTTGAAGCCAGTTAGATTCTTTTGTCCCTACTACTCCCCTTGGAAGGCTGTTCCAGAACTTCACTTCTCTGATGGTTAGAAACCTTTGTCTAATTTCAAGCCTAAACTTGTGGATGGCTAGTTTATATCTATTTGTCTTCAATGGAGCTATATCAATTTACATCCGCTGAGGATCTGGCCCTAATGACCAAATGTGCATTTAACCATGGGCGTCCAGTCAAAAGCAGGAAGAACCTGCTGGTGCAGCAGGATGAAACATTTTTTTTTAAATCCTCTATACCAAGGGTAGGCAACCTATGGCACGCGGGCCAAAGGCAGCACACGAGCTGATTTGCAGTCGCACTCACACCGCCCAGGTCCTGGCCACCAGTCCGGGAGGGCTCTGCATTTTAATTTTAATTTAAATGAAGCTTCTTAAACATTTTAAAAACCTTATTTACTTTACATACATTTAGTTATATATTATAGACTTATAGAAAGAGACCTAAAAATGTTAAAATGTATTACTGGTACGCAAAACCTTAAATTAGAGTGAATAAATGAAGTCTCGGCACACCACTTCTGAAAGGCTGCCGATCCCTGCTCTGTACTTATTGCTTTTGTGCCATTTCGAGGCCCATATGAAGCAGAAGACATTAAATGTGAGAACTCAGGATTTGTTTACACTACAGCAACATAACTATGGCACTGTAGCTATGCTGCTGTAACCCCATCGTTTAGACACTACAGCAAAGGAAGGGGTTGTTCTGTCACAGTAGTAACTCCACCTCTTTGCGGTAGCGAAGTTGACAGAAGCATTATTCTGTTGAGCTACAATATCTACACCAGGGGTTAAGTCAGAATGGCTACGTAAGGGGAGTGTCATTTTTCACACTCCTTGAGCTACATAGTTATGTCAATCTACCTTTTAAGTGTAGACCAGGCCTAAGGCTCCCCTTACCCACGCTTACAAAACCAACATTCTAGTGTACCCAAAGTTACCTGGATAAGGAGCTGGAACCAAAGGAGCCCACATTACAGAATATAGGACTTGTTCCTGGGTTGGAGCCAGTGTTTAGAATCAGATTTCTGTCAGGTGACCGGGCAGCTGCTGCAATTGGCTGGGATGTGGCTGTCAGGCTGGCAAATGGGTTTTCGTCCCTCGACTGGGTGGACATCATCAGAACTTCCATTAAAATCTGGCCAATCAAGTCCTTAAAATCTGAGAACACTGAAGAGGACAGCAAGAAAATTAGGGACCACTGTGGTGATGAGGATTCTCCTGAGGGACCTCGGTGGTTAACCCAACCAAAACATTTTCTTCTATTTCCATAAATTAAATGCTATTGTTGCCAATAGCAATAGACTAGGTTACTTTATTTTAACAAAAAATTATCATTTGGTCTCTATCATCTCGGGTTTTGAGAATACAGCAACATGCAAGCTCAAGGTTTGTGGAGAATGTAAAGAATTGTACATGGTCTAATGTCATTATTGTGGACATTACAGATAATTTTCTTTTTAAACTCTCTTGTATTTTCCTTCCTTTTCTCGAATAAGGTCACAGAATGTCAAGGGAAAACACAAGTTTAAATTAGCAATGAAGTGTTTTGGTATCTAGTAATCGGTCATTTAAATCTGACAAAATGGTGATCAATCTAATAAATAGACAGCAGACTTCCTTAGTTTTATTAAATGAACAGCAGCCATATCTATTATGAGGCAATATTGAATACTTCAATATAAAAGGGTTTTTGAAAGATTCAGAAGCATGGCAACGCTTGCACAATAGTTTCCCAACAACAGATTGATCAATTTTATAAAGGCAGTTGACTTCAATGGGAGCTGCTGGTGCTCAGCACCTTGAAGGATCTTGCCTTTGTCCATGTACTGTGGCCCCATTGTAATTGGCACCTGCTGATGACAAATGTATTTTGTGCTCAATAACGTCTGCATCAAGCAAAAAACGCAGCTAGAAAAGCTCAAGCATCACTGCAGCATCAGTTATACGACTGCAGCTGAACAAAAACCTAGAGATGAAGCTGGACAACAAGCCAGCCACACCATCTTAATGTTTGAAAACGAAGACATGACTCCTCCAATCTGTTCTTTCATACCCTAACTAGCACAATGCGAACGACTGAAGTTCCTACCTTCTTTTGGGTTCTGCTTAAATTGCTCAGAGAACGAAGTGAGGAAGATGACGTCTCTGTCTCGGTCCTTCCAGGATACTCTGAAGATCTTACAGACCAGCTGTAAGGCCTGCTCCTCAGATACTTCCGATCCTGATGGAGGCTCCTTGTTGAGGGAAAAGGGAAACATTTTTTGCATTCATTTTGGTTTGGCTTATGCAAGTCAAAGTTTCAACAGGGACAATATGACACCTTAAATCAGCTCTGGTGGCCAAAAGGAAACAGGACTAACAAAACCCACCACTTATTATCCATTGATTCTGTAAAGAAAATGTTCTGAAAGGCTTCTTGCATGTCAGTTTGAAAGCCACAACTAGACTCTGGTAGCAGATTCTGAGTGCTTATGAAAGGACAGTCATACAAGTATCAGAAAATATTTCAAAAAGTAAAATTATACAAAGAAGAATTATAGGAGAAATGAAATAATGATAGCACACAACAATATGGTGCTAAGCAACTGGCATACATCATATTAGAAAATAATGTGGGAGGAAGAAAAATTTTAGCCTGGATACTGGCACAACTCTCTACTCTTACAAGGAGTTGTATGTTCATTTTAATTTTACTTAACATCCACCCAGAGCAGACAGGACCTCCACTTTTTAAGATTTCATCTCAAAACCAAAACCTAAAGATTTTCCCCTCTTTTTAATCTTTGTTTTACCAAAGAAAGACCAACAAAAATAATTGTGTCCATACAACAGTTAAAAACCATTTCCAGTTAGCTGGCTTGCTGAATGTTAAATACAGAGGAATGCTCTGTATTCATGGCCCGATCCCAGCTCTTTGAAGTCAGTGGGAGTACTTCCACTGACTTCAATGGGAGTAGGAGCAGTCTCACGGCACAAGTCAGTCTCTCTTAAAAAAAAACTTAATTCTACACGGAAGTTCCACTGTAAATGAAACTGCAGTTTGCACACTGTGATGCCTGGAAGCAACTGGGAATTTCCAGTTGCTAGATGAGACCTGAATGAATGTTAACAGGTCTCAGCATATTTAATAAGTACTTTGTCAAACAGAGAATACAAGAAAAAAAAATAAACTGAGAAAATTAATCCTGATACCAAGTGAAAACTTTTGGTCATAACACTTGGGGAGAACTGTTACAAACTGCTGCTTGCTCAATCTAGCTTTTGTTCCACCCAGTCCCAAAGCTTTGCCTCTCTTTAGAAAGAGGAAAGAGCAGGACAAAGTACTCAAGGGCCTGCTTCATTCGTCTCCTCCCTTCACTTAGTAAAGCCATGTTAACTGTATTCAATTCCAAGGCAAAAGAAGCTTCTCTGCAGTTACTCCCATCAAAAAGTTGTCACAATAAATAATTGCTAACACAAAGAATGAATTACAATTCATGGTGGTTTTACAAAGGCGATGCCAGATTTTGGGGGGCATAGGTGGAAAAGTAGCTCAAGAAATAAGGGAAGCAAGTTTCAGATAATCATCATCTGCAAAGAGGGAGGAATTAATAGTGTTTAAAACTCTTCCAGAACATATATGTAACCAGGTTTCAGAGTAACAGCCATGTTAGTCTGTATTCGCAAAAAGAAAAGGAGCACGAAAGCTTATGCTCAAATAAATTAGTCAGTCTCTAAGGTGCCACAAGTACTCCTTTTCTTTTTGCATATATGTAACCAGCAACCTTTGTTCTCCATCATGGCTGGCAAGGCTAACTGTAATTAGACACAAGAATCACTCAAGAACATTGAAAATACTTGTTGCATAAAGGTCAGTGATTTCTGCCAAAAATTATTTCTTCTCTTTCTCCCAGCAAGAACCCTGCACTTGGAGCTCTATGATGTAGGGCACGTTCCACCAGTTCCCAAACACTTTTTGTTGGGACACACTGGTTACTGGATTGGTGACTGGACCGTCCTCACCCCACTCTTCCTAATTCCATCACACCAAAACCCAACACACTTGCCATCTTTTCTATTCTCTTTCCTTCTCATCAGCAAATGCTGACTTTCTAATGGCAACAACTGCAACTACTGACATAAGCAATACAATTCACCTGATGTGGTCTGCATTGGAATAGCCTGAACCCATATGCCTTTGTTCTCATTTTAACATACATCAGTTTCCAATGCATGCTAAAGTTGTCAATTACACAAAGTAAACGGGCCAGATCACATCACAATGGCAAAATACCAGCAAATGCGATTTTAAGCCACAACAGTTAAGAGATGGAAAAAGCCTGTTGGATCAAAGCCCATTCTCCTGGAAGAGTATGGCATAGTTATCAGATAGAACACATCAGGTATTCACCTGATATTGAGCTTTTTTAAAAGTATCAGGATAAGTCAGTATCTTTTGAAGAAGTTGCTCTCTTTAAAAAAGAAAGGTTGGCAGGGGAGGGAGAAAATTCAACAAACTGGAAAAAACTGAAAAATAAAATTAAAAAAATCTGATTCAGGTTAGCACTCAAGATCCAGCAGAGATTGCCTCAGTTTCCTTACCACTCCCACAAAAGTTATCCACCGCTATTGTTTCACATTTTTCCATCCCTCCTCTGCAGCCAAGAAACAATACACATGCCTACGGACCTCAAATAACCTAAAAGCTTGGGCAGGATATGGTAACTTAGTGTGAATTCAATTAACAACTGTAAGGTATGTAAAATTAAACTGGTACTATTTTATTTCACACAACACAAGAACCTATAGGGAATTAAACCCCAAACTCTTCTGCTTCCTTTTCATGCAAACAAAAAGGCTTCAATACTGACATTATCAAAATATCAAAGTTATTCTAAAATAATGCCCACATTTTCCATGCAGAAGGAAGGGAAGGAAATTTCCTACTTATAAAATGGTTTTGGTGTGCCTCCTTTCCAATTCATTCACTCAGAGGAGTCAGAAGGCTAAAGAGGAATCAAGCCAAGTTTTCAAAGCTTCTTCGTACTCTCCACTGAGCCCCCTATTCAAGCCACCCTTGATTTGAAACTACTTATTTCACAGCAGCACAATGGAAGCTGTCTGACTGCCTGGCTTGCAACTAGAGACTGCTCAGAAAAATTAGTTCTGCATCAGGGTTATTGCAACATGGCTCAAAGCCAGACTTTCACCAACTGAGTTTATTAATGCCAGTACAGAGGTAAACAAAGGCTTAGAAGGAGCACTGCGAAAATTGTTGGTGGAAGCTTCTCCACACCCACGTTAAGGCCACATTTCTAGCATTGGACCCAAAAGTCAAGTGATAACTTTGGAATGAATCTGACCTTTGGGTCTGGTTCCCCCTGTTCTGCTCTTCAGGTTCCCATCCCTTATCTAGATGTGTGGGAGAGCTAGCTGCTCTTCTTTCTCTCTTTTGTAATAAATAATAATACCTAACTCATATAATGCTTTTCATTAGGAGATCTGAAAGTGTTTTACAAAGGAGAACATGGTCTTCAAAATTATATCAGTTATTTCCTGTAACAAGTGTTTGCTTTGATCTAATCCCATCACAGAAAAACCAGATTTTGAGGGTTAAACTAATTTTATTTCAAAGTATAATATCCCTCCCAAGGTCTCGAGAGCATTTTTCCCAGAGTCCATTCACTGGATTGCTGAAGCTATTGTGCAGAAAACACTCTGAGACCATCCAGTTGCTTGCTACAAAAGTTCATTATCTCATGAGTTCTGTCTTTTTTAGGTTTGACCAGGGAATTTGAGGATGGGAGCGAGTCAGATGATGCCTGAAGATTGGGTACTTCCCCTCAAAAACATCTATGTGGCACAAAGGTGAGTGATCCAATGGAAGACAGATTAAGAGCAATACTCTATATTGCTCTTCCACCAATCTGACTATTGTTCCACATCCTTTGGGGGAGCCTACCGAAGATTGATTCTGATTAGGGACATTTCTCTAAGTCTGATTTAAAACTGCTAGCGGTAAAAGGGAAAGCAAGACATCTGCACGGGAAAAACTGAGAGCAAAGCCAGTATCATAATGCTCATCTATTAGTCCATCTGCCTCACTAATACAAGTAAAAGGCAGTAGACTGAGTCTAAGCCAAAGTCTTCGTAAAACAAATCTAATACTTTATGAAACAGTAGCATTCATTACGTTAAACAAAAAACAGTCATGCTTTAAATTTAAATGTTAAGTTGCATAATCCAAGTAAGCTCGCTTATAAAATGTGAGAGCTAAAGGTCACAATACAGAGTTTCTACAACTGGCCTGAAATGAAACAGACTCTGGGACTAGCCAACCTTATCAATCAGGCTCCTTTTCTCTCTGCGATCATTCTCATCGACCTCCATGTTCTCTATTCCTGAATCTACATCCACCTGGGACATACTGTAAGAGGAAAGAACAGAAGAGCCCATTAATTGCTGGAAACCCAAAGATAGTTCTTTATGAAGATGCTGACTAAAGGAGTGTTCTCTTAAATGGAAACTGCTCAGGAAAAAGGACGGATGCATGGGAATAGCCAGATCCATAAATGTGGCAATTAAGTTACTAGTCAGTAAATGGGTCTGCCTCTCACGTTATGTTTGCTTTAATACAAGAAATATGACAATGAATTTCTTAAGCAGGCAAAGAAAAATGTACAGCCATTCCATCCTACAATTTATTTTGAATACAGTTAAGTCACACCTATCAACATGCTGGTCACTTGTGATGTCTAGGATGACCCTCTGTATTGTAACAGTTTAGGAGAAAGTGACTCCATTAAAAAGACAGGACAAAGCACAAGGTTACACACTGTAGGAAATAATACAACATTTTAAACTTGACCTTTAACATGGTTGGGAGGGGAAGATAAAGAGTATTTTCTTTGTACATATTTAGATGGCCTGTAGTGCAATATCTGCCTGGTAGTATAAGCAGCATTCTTTACCTTTTCTCACAGGTGACACTATCAATATCCATGCTCTGGGACCGGGAGAGAGACTGAGATTGTGTTTCAAGGCTGTTAGATGGGGAACTGCTGAGCGAACTCACTCCTTCACTGCTCTGGCTTCGGTGGGCTACTCCTAAAGAAAAGCAACAACCAGATTAGTGCTGCAGAAAGGCGAAGCCACCACTTAATTATCCCGTGAGATCCATGTAGTTTTTTGCAATCATTTCTCAATCCAGCTATTAAGGATTCCAGATAATGCATTACAATATTGTTGCCACTGAATTACTGTATGGCCTCAGGCAAGTTTGTCTGTCTGTATTTCCTCTTCCCTGTCTGTAGAAGTAGAGGGAAGAATGCTTACCTGCAGCATGAACTAGAGAATGGAAGCTTAATTCATGTCTGTGAAATGCTCAGGGTTCCCTCTAAGAAAAGCACTGTTTGATTTTAAATAAACTCTTTGTGTTCTGTACATCTGAGTGATATGTGAAGCTGTGGTAATTCTATGTTTTAACTGTACCAAGGTTTACATATTCGCAAGATTTACATGTTGGCAGTGATTTATACCAGAGCTCAAAAAGAGGACTTCAGGAATTTTTCCTCATTTCCAACCTGCTCAGGTAAGAAATATGGGTACGTCAAATACACTTACCCAGCTCAATAACAGCCTTCTCCCATCCCTCCTCCTTCCAAAAAATTGCACTGAATGCAAATGCCTGAAGGGATCAATGTGAGAGCACGGTAATCCATACTGATGCTTTGATACAATTTCCCTACAGGTTTGTGAGGTCAGCCAGTTTTTAAAAATTAATCCTAAAGTAAATAATGTACATGCTGTTAACAGACAAAACAAAAACAGCCCTCGGGCTGTAGAAAGCGACTGACCAAATCAGAAGAAGTGTCTCACAGCAAATTGTTGCCAAGTTTTAAAGTTCATGGAGTCGTTTATAGATATATTATTAGATATGTGTAGGTATCACTGTGTGTCCATCCATCTGACCCCATCCCTCATGTGGATAGATCACCCTCGGAGATGCACTCACACAAGCTAATAGTTTGCACCAAAAGCAGTTTATATGCAAATCTATTTTTGCCTTTGTGGGTTGGGCAGGAAGAAATAAGGAATTTCCCTCTCTAGGCCTCCCTTCTGCAGAGACCAAACTCTCCTGTCTGAGGCAGGTTGGATACGGTTACCTCTGGGTCCCACCAGTGCAACCCCAGTCCACCTTCCCAAGCAAGGAAGAGAGGAACTAAGCTCACTATCAAACTCTGATCACTTGTAAGACAGTGCTATACGATGTCAAAAGACTGCCAAGTCATCCCAACCCCATCTGTTTATCTATCTTCAAATGAACACAAAAGTTTTAGTCTTTACTGCAGAGTTAACCTCAGCTGTGACCTGAGTGTTCCCCATAAGCTGGTTCTCCTCCACACACTAAAACCTCCGACCTGAGTTCAGTGATACTTTCAACCCAAGTTAGCTGGCCAGTCATGGAGTACAGTCTCAACCCCAAGTGAGGCTTTCGCTTGGGTGGCATCCTGCCCACTTAGCAGTGAGGATGCAGGCTAAGACCATTCAAATGCTGGTTGTTTTCCCATGATTCCTTCCATGTGCCCAGAAGGGGAAACAAGTTCTCCCACAACTCAGTGGGAAAGAACCAGTGTGGCTCAACTTACTAAAGCACAAAGAACCACGGGATATGCCCCAGATATCCTAGAAATGCAAACAGATGAGCGCAGCACCAGCGAGGATAAAATAATTGAAGTGCAGCTATGCAATATGGCTAGGCTAACCTGGGTGCCAGTCAGCCAGGTTATCTCTGATGTGAAGGCATGCACACCACCATTCTAGGGTGTAGGGAGAAATACACATATAAAATTCATATTAATGCAGAATAAACCTTGGATTCAAACTACTGAAAGCAGACTGAGTGCTACTGACATCCATATAGAGGTCAGCGCTTAACTGCAGCACGCTCCTAAAATTCCTGTCTGGTGATACTGGGTCAGGGAGAAGGGTGTTAGGTTAAGTCTTGCCTACTAATAAATTATTAAATTACAAACTGTTACTGTAGCAGTTCTGTGGTATTATACTTGTGTGCTGATAACTGGGCTCTTTGAAGACCAAGCAAAGAAAAAGGTATTAGCCTGCTTGTTTAATATGAAAGCAGCAGTGAATTCCACTCCTGTAGGGTTTTCCATCTGTTATTTACAAGACATTCCTCGAATAGTATTAGGTTTCAGGTTAAAAGCGTAAAACCAGATTGACAATCTACTTTTAAATTCTAGCACTGGGTCTGTTCCAGCACTACTACTAAAATCTGCAGTAGCTTCTCCCATGCCTATGGCAGTATCACATTTTCAAGTTAACAACGTGGAGAGTGAAGTAGAACAGATCCAGGATTAGGCCATTTTTTCTGCAAGTGGTTTGTTTTAGCAGTTTCTTCACAAAATATTTCAAAGCCTTGACACAAATTTCTACTTCACGAGAAAATCTAAACCGCAAAAATAAGGCCAGCCTGCAGAAGAATACAATTTGAAAAAAAAAAACAAAAAAACATTTTGTTTCATTTGGTCAAAATGAAGAAAAGGTTAAGTAAAACACTTCTCAAAACTTTAAAAACCAAGCATCTGGTTGTGTCCACACTTTATAACAAAATGTTAGCAATAGCTATTTAAATGGGGTTGGGCCAAATTCTCTTTCTACATATGTGTACACATCTGGAGTAATTCCACTGACTTCAATGGAGTTACACTAGTATAAATTCGTTAAGTAAGAAGTTGTCAGATGTCCTTGTTTCTAGCAGTTTCTTTGTCCAATATGGAAAAGGACTTTTGTATTTTTAAATCCATGTTATAAACATGGTATGGAAGACAGTATGCACTGTGGCATAATTTGGCTAAATTGTCAAAAAAAATCCCTATTCAACTTGGTCAGGGACCTACACTAGAAACAACCATATGGTTATTGTTAGAAAAGTTTCAGCTGCAATGCAGAGAGGGTGTCAATAAATCAGCTCCACACCTACACACTCAAAAAGTACCGTGTTGGGGGAATCATGTTATAATACAGCATGGTCCCATTATCAGAATTTGAGGGGATACTATTGTATCTTAACATGATTCCGATACACACAGTAAATCTATACATTGAAACAAGTAGCCAAAAATAGCGCATATTTTGAAAAGGGTCACAGTTATAAGAAAAGGAGGACTTCTGGCAACTTAGAGACTAAAATTTATTTGAGCATAAGCTTTCATGAGCTACAGCTCACTTCATCGGATGCATGTAGTGGAAAATACAGTGGGGAGATCTTATATACACAGAGAACATGAAACAATGGGTGTTACCATACACACTGGAACAAGCGTGATCAGGTAAGGTGACCTATTATCGGGGGATGGGGGGTGGGACGGGATGACACCTTTTGTAGTGATAATCAAGGTGGCCCATTTCAGCAGTTGACAAGACCGTCTGAGGAACAGTGGGGGGCAGGGGGGATAAACATGGGGAAATAGTTTTACTGTGTGTAAAAAGAAAAGGAGTACTTGTGGCACCTTGGAGACTAACCAACGGCTGTTACTGTGTGCAATGATCCATCCACTCCCAGTCTTTATTCAAGCCTAAGTTAATTGTACCCAGTTTGCAAATTAATTCCAATTCAGCAGTCTCTCCTTGGAGTCTGTTTTTGAAGTTTTTTTGTTGAAGAATTGCCACTTTTAGGTCTGTAATGTTACAGTTATGTCTCCATAACACCCCTTAAAAAGTGTTAGCTTTTTCTATGGGTTTGCTGGGGTCTTAGTTCTCAGAACACTTCTGATAACAAGTACAGATTTAGCTTCCAAAAAGAACTGAACTATTGACAAAGTGTAATGATGGCCCAGTAACTTGATGGAGATGGAGCAACCCTAAATTAGGATGCACTCCTTAAAGCTTTGCCATGCTAAGGGCAGATGAAGAGACACCAACTGACAATTAAGTTCACCAACTGGTTACTCTCAAAGCCATCTTCTACATCAAAAATAGATTTTGTAATGTTAATGTATAACTGGAATTTTGAGACGCTTTCTTTGGATGATTTGAAATACATATTGCAGAGCTCAGTTTTTAAAATCTTCTAATTTATTTATGGAAGCTAGTGGGGATGTTTATTTGCTCTTACTGCTAAACTATGTCAGTCTCCCAATTCCCCAGGTTAGGTGGCTTGAAAGTAATCATCCGATGAAGTGAGCTGCAGCTCACGAAAGCTTATGCTCAAATAAATTGGTTAGTCTCTAAGGTGCCACAAGTCCTCCTTTTCTTTTTGCGCATACAGACTAACACGGCTGCCACTCTGAAACTAGTTATCAATGGTAATCAACTCTTCTGTTTAAAAAAAAAAAAGTAGATAAATAATTAGAGTGAACCCAGCCAACCCTCCCCATTTCAGCATGGAAGCAGAAGCTTTTGGGCAAAATCTGTGTGGGGGCAGAATTTTATAGTCGCTATATGTTTGTGCATTTCTTTTTATTTCACTGTATAAGCTAAAAGCCACATGTAATGTAATCATACCTTCTCAATGTTAGTTAATTAGTTAACGTCTGCGCAGCTTTTTGAAGATTTAAAGTTCCACGTAAATGCTAGGTATTAACAGAGGTACCAGTCGGTTCAGATTTGCAGGAGGCAAATATCAGAGCTCTATCTGCTCTCTTCTGAAAAGTATGGCAGGTTCATGCAGCAAGGTAGAGCTGGAATAGCCACTGTTCTGTAACTTCAACCACCATTTTGGATTCCATCCACTGACAGGGTAATCCCAAAGCAAACTAATAGTTTTAAAATTACCAACTAAAATAAGACAAGGTAAGAAGGAACAGAACAAGCACTCTGCTTTAATGAGTACGATTTGAAAACCATCACCTGCCAAGCCTGATCAGGCAGTGTGTCCAAACCCTGCTTAGCTGGAGTACTGTGGCCTCGAAATGGGGCCTTAAAAAAAAGGAGAGTTCATAGAAGAGGGGGGTGATAACCGCTCTCTCTTGAGAAGGGGAAAAAGCAAACCTCCATATCTCCAGGAATAGGGCATAAGCCTTTAACCTCTGAATCAAATGGGGTAGGAATGCAGCCTAGTGGCCAGAGCATAGCACCAGAAGCCCAGACTATTCCTGACTCCACTTCCCTTTGTGCAAAGTGCATATAATACTTAACTTCCTCAGACAGGTTGTGTGTCTGAAGTGTACTCTGAGATCATTAGAAGAAAGGCATAATAGATGTGCAAGGTATTATTAATTAGCATGTATACCAGAAATACAGTTAAACTAAGATTAACAAAACATCCCAGTTCTGTGGCTGAAAAGACAAGTATGTTCTATAGAGTAGTATGAAAACACAGAAGGAATATGTAACTCACTCCTGCCACGATTTACATGGTAAATTTAACAGTTGTGAACAAAAACAAAAGAATAAGTAAGTGTGGGTTAACAATCTATGTTGGGCTGAAGCTGACAATTAGCATGTCATTTTTAACAGCATTCTCAGCCAATTAAGCAAAAAGAAAAGGAGTACTTGTGGCACCTTAGAAACTAACAAATTTATTTGAGCATAAGCTTTCATGAGCTACAGCTCACTTCATCAGATGCATTCAGTGGAAAATACAGTGGGGAGATTTATATACATAGAGAACATGTAGCACTGCTAAGGGATTCCTGCAAACTGTATAGCTTTAAATGAGCCTTTGCTGATGTGAAGCGTGTACAGTGGATGCTCAGCATCGAGCAACACTCTCAATAACCACCATCAATTTTCTAGTTTATCTAACCCCCCATCTGATCTGAAAAAAAAAACTGAACATTGTTTCAGTAATCAGTACTATGGAAAGTGAACACTGTACTTTAACTAGTGATTTTATGCTCTTGGCCATGACAAACCAACAGCTCATGCATCCCTAGGCTCTGGGTGTCTAGAACAGACTAATAAATTTGCCAGACTGACCTCCCCAGGTAAACAAACTGTGACCCATGAATCTCTCAATGCCAACTGGTAAGAGGGTTACAAGAATATCCTGATTCTGGTTCACCAAAGAAGGTCATGTGAGTTCTTAAATGAAAGCCAGGGTCACACTGGTCATTAATATAATTGAGAAATCTAGGTACAGATACTATGTAAAGAGTTATGTATGTATACTGAAAATATGTTTTAAAGTCTGTATCAAGGCAGAGTTACAAAGGCAGACAAGAGATATTTATTCACCTGTCTCTCTGACATACAAATTAAGCATTGCAAGATAACACAATGGGGAATCATTTACACAGAGAGTTAAGGGAAGGGAAGGGGAGTGTGTGTGAAATCAACAAGGAGGCAGCACACTGAGAATAAGACATGGCTGGTGATCCTGACTCTGGGTACAGAAAATAAACTTTGTACGATACAAAGAGAAAGCAAGACAGATACCTAGGAAGTAGGTGTACCTTTATTCTTCACCTAGGAAATAAAGGACAGCGCATTTAAAGTGATTAAAATGGGATCTCTGCCTACCATACTGGAAGGCACTGCAAAAGACTTTGGGTGAGATAAGAACTCTTTAGACAGGCGGTTAGCTTGGTAAATTAAGATTAGTCTCTAGGATGATTATTATGATTTTATTTTATATGTAACCCCCTTGTTTCCATTATCCTTATGGTCTCTTGAAACTTTGGTAATACACTTATCGTTTTTGCTATAAGTATATCTCAGTTCTGTGGTGTGAAGCTAGATGCTGATCCCTAGTTGAATCAGGCAAGCTGTTGTATACACTGCTCTCTTGGGGACCACAAACCCTGGTATTTCTGTGAGCATTCAGTAAATAAAGGACTGGACACTACAAGGGAACGCTTCAAAAGAATTCAGGGACTGAGTTATATTTATTGTTAACCTCCAAGGAAAGCAAGGGCTGGAATAGCCCAGAGTAAATTGTCTGTCTGGCTAACAACAGGCTGGTGATGTCAAGGAGCCAATAGTCAGTTAAACACAAGCAAGTCTCTCTCTCTCTTGCTAGAGGCAGGGGGTAATAAGGTGACTCTCAGTCCTCCTGGGTATCCCAAGAACCATCACACAAACTACATGGACTCTGCACCATACCTACTGACTTACTTATAGGACTATCAGGTTGTTTCTTTGTTTTTTTTTAAATCACCTTTGCTTCTGTGTCATTTCTTTGTTATCACAAGGCCAGTGTACTGTTTTAAATTGTAACTGTAATTAGCTTTTCACTGGAAATGCTTTTAATAACTACTCTCAGTCATGACTGAAATGCAGAGAAATGGGCGGTAGAAAGAATAGGTAAGAAACAATCCATTATGACAAGTCAACATTATAACAAGGAGTCAGAGTTCTAACCAGTCCTGAGACAGGACTGTATGTAATAAAAGGAGGAGGTTTCCAGCCTTCTAGGTTGACTTTACTGAATGTATGTTCCAAAGGACATAACCATAAACCCAGCGCATTAGACAAAGGCTCACAATGCAAATAAGTCATGTGCTAGCTTGATCTGCACAGGCATGGAAAAATATTTTTCATTACCCCCCAACTATTTAACGTCTCTGATCTTTTAGTAGGAGTTTGCTAAAAATAGCCAACCACCACCTTTGAAATACTGAACATTTAAAAAAAAAAATCTCAGTTCAGTGCCTCTAATTTCATAAAACTATAAACATGAAATATAATTTGTGATTACAGATGAAGTTTATAACATTTGGCATGTGTGCCAAGTTTAGATCAAAACCCAGATTATAAATAAAAATTGCATAATTAACTCTGTCTCAGCAAAAGAACATCCCTCTTCCCATTCTCACCTGCTCATTTAAAAAATAAATAAATAAATAAAAAGGAATTAGTCTGGTTTGGACATTTTCCAAGCCTTCTGACTCCTAGATTCACAAGAGTTGTAACTGAAAGTGATTCTACCTTTACCCTCCAAAAATGTTAGAAGACTGTTTTTCCCTTTGTTTATTGACTTCACACACTTTGCTCCTTTAAACAATATGTAGAGACACCACATGCATCATTCAAATGCACCAAACACTACTAATGCATGATCTGAAACAAAACTGGACTTTGGGACTGAGTGTTGAAGTCCAGCTAGAAACCAAAACAAACGAAAAAAAAAAGTTATTTAAAATCTTAGATAATCTAAAAGGCAGATGGGAAAAAAATGCTCTCTCTTATTCAGAATACTCAGAAGACGTAAGCATTGTGAACTATCATCTAAATTACATACTTCACTCTAGACCATGTTTTAATTCTGAGTAAACTTTGTTTTAGAAGCATTTGTAATTCCCTCCCTCCAAAAAAAATTGTACAGAAGAGCTCTCTCCTTTACTGGTTTACTCCTTTAAAATATGTTAATGCATTCACCTAAACAATTGTATATAGTTTACCAGAAAATAATTAAATATATACATCAAAAAGTGTCCATTTTCCTCAACTCCTTTCAAATTATACCAGAAACAACTGTAGCACTTATATCATAGGTTTAAAATCTTCAATAGAATAATCACAAAAACCACCAAAAAAATAATTCTTCAGTGATTAAGTTGCAACCTACCTGATGCACCAATTGGAGAGGTAGCTGGGGTCATACTATGGACATTCAGGCCAAAACTGGGGGATGGACCTGGGGCTGGCACTACTACAGGTGGTCCGGGTGGGTTCTCTCTTTGTGGAGAGGTAAGAGGGGTGGTGGGCTGGGAAGATGGTCCACCTGCAAGCCGAGCAAGGCGCCTTCGACGGATCTGTACAAAGGAAATAAGAAGTAAATAAAGTACACACATACACACACACAGAATTTCACAAACATTGCACCAATGGTCCTTCCAAGCAATATGCATATCAACCTCTACCAAAAGGCATCACCAAAAACAAGAATATAATGTATGACCCTTGATATAAAGGGAAACCTGCATTAAAGATCACCTCCAATAAGCAATCCCCCTGTCTTATGTGACCATTTTAAAATACCCCTAGAGTTTCCAGTACATTTTTGATATCTTTGAAGACCATCTCTACTGGCCAACCCAATTTGTGTTAGTCCCTTGAGTGGTCATTTAAGACAGGTTTCACTTCCTATTGCACAGCAATGTGAACACATATAACAATTCCCTTCCTCTAATTTAGCAATTGATGGAATCAACTATGTTCTTCTGTTAAAGGAACCTTATCAACATAAATGTTGCCCAAATTTCATAACATCTAAGACCAAGAGAAAAGTTTGTATTTAAAAAAATGTCTTGTGAAAACAGATATCTTTAATCAAAAGATCATTACCCAACGGTGTTTGAAACCCAAACATGAAGACTCTAAGTGACATTTTTCAGCCAAACAGAGAAATACAGAAAGTAAATGAAGAGATGAGCATCCTGCATCTAGGAGCAGTAAATGAGCATAAACTGACAGGTTAATTGGATTTTTAAAATTCTATCCCTTAATGTGTTATTAATAACACAAGTAAAGAAGTGTGTTTGCTTGCAACATGTGACAGGTTGCTAGTGTTCTTTATAATTTCTAAAATTTAGTACCACCACAAGCAGATTGGCTTGATACATAGGGTATAGACAAAGGAAAAATAATATCTACAGAATTTTTAGAACCAGAAAACTAAAAAAAATTAAAAACTCAGAAAGTAAGTTAAATATTACCAAGAACCACTTCTCTAGCACTAAATCAGTGTTCAATCAACTGCACCATTTCTTACTTTTGCCCATAATACCCAAGAGTTGCCAAGCAGGTGAAAGAGGTGCAAGAAAAGATGTGTCAAGTGACTTACACCATGTTACTACAGCCATTTAATAGACTGCCAAACCTTCCTCAATAGAGAAAGATGATGAACTGATCAAATTAAACCAGACTTGAAAAACTCTGGGGAAACATAGCTTCTGGAGCATCTCTTCCTTGACTCTAATGTCACGACATGAATATGGAAGGTGGAAAGAAAATAAATCTTTTTTTAAAAAAAAACAAAAAAGGGCTTTGAATAGAATATCTTAATCCTACTCTTTACAAAGTGAAGTTGCAGTGTTTCTATCACAGCAACACAAAGCAGCATCCACTCATGCAGCTAAAAACTGTTCTTACTGGGCTCTCTACAGAAAAATATTTAAGAAATAGAACTCACATTTTCCCCCAAATCTGTTTTGCAGAGTGACGAAAGCTGAAGATTTTATATCCTATATACCCACTTACTTGCAACTTTTCTGTAGTGTAACGTTGCTCTAACCATTAGCCAGTTACTACATTTCACCCAAGAGGTAGACATATTTTGGTAGTAGTTCAAGTAATCCCTATATATATATATATAATCACACACACACAAACCTTGTAAATGAGCTGTAACTCAGAGTATCCTCTATTGTTAACCTATATCAGGGTTCGGCAACCTTCGGCACACAGCCCATCAGGGTAATCCGCTGGCGGGCTGCGAGACATTTTGTTTACATTGATCATCCACAGGCATGGCCCCCCGCAGCTCTCAGTGGCCGTGGTTCACCATTTCCAGCCAATGGGAGCTGCGGGAAGTGGCATGGGTGGCCACCACTACCCGCAGCTCCCATTAGCCAGAAATGGTGAACTGAGGCCACTGGGAGCTGCAGGGGATGGTCAACGTAAACAAAACGTTTCGTGGCCTGCCTGCGGATTACCCTGATGGGCCATCATGCTATTTATACTATATAAAATAGAGAACAATTAATGTGAGAGAAAAGTACCCCGAGGGTTTTCTTTCACACTGTGTCAATGACTGGATGTTGTTATTGTAAACTAATTCCTCTGCAAGAAAAAAATATCACTTTAAGATTCCAGTCCCAAAAAAAACTTATGAAAGTGCTGAACATGACACACAAGTAGCCCCATAAACTACAATGGGGTTACTCACATGTGTAATGTTCCATTTGAATGTCTGCAGGACAAAGGCCCAAATCTCCATATCTGCATTAAAAAAAAAAAAGTATAATTTTTGTGTGTGTCTGTAAATGGACTGGGGGTGGTCTAAAGCTAGAGTCATCACCACAGATGTCACAAGGAGACAGGAATATTTACTTGTCTCTTAATATTCATCCATGCAGCAATATAAAGGTGAATAAAACACAGCAAGAACTAAGTCCTAAGGTTTTGGATCCAAGTTCCAAAATTAGAACATAAACTAAAGCAAAGCCAAATTTACATCAGTTTTCAATTAGCTGGAAAGTTTCTTGACAATATAGTGAAAACTCAGCTTGGTCTCAAGTTGATTTGGTCACAAATCTCTGAAAATTAATTTGGCCACATTTAAGTCAGTGTATCAAATCAACTTACATAAGAACATAAGAATGGCTACACTGGGTCAGACCAAGGGTCCATGTAGCTCAGTATCCTGTCTTCTGAAAGTGGCCGATGAAAGATGCCACAGAGGGAATGAATAGAACAGGGCAATTATCAAGTGATCCACCGTGTCATCCAGTCCCACTTTATGGCAGTCAGAGGCTCGTTTACCTGCACATCTACCAATGTGATATGTGCCAGCAATGCCCCTCTGCCATGTACATTGGCCAAACTCGACAGTTTCTACATAAAAGAATAAATGGACACAAATCAGACATCAAGAATTATGACATTCAAAAACCAGTCGGAGAACACTTCAATCTCTCTGGTCACTCGATTACAAACCTAAAAGTGGCAATTCTTCAACAAAAAACTTCAAAAACAGACTCCAACAAGAGTCTGCTGAATTCGAATTAATTTGCAAACTTGACACCATTTACTTAGGCTTGAATAAAGACTGCGAGTTGATGTGTCATTACACAAAGTAAAACTATTTCCCCATGTTTATTTTCACTCCACTACTGTTCCTCACACGTTCTTGTCAACTGCTGGAAATGGCCCACCTTGATTATCACTACAAAAGGTTTTTTTGTTGTTTTTTCTTCTCTCCCGCTGGTAATAGCTCACCTTCCCTGATCACTCTCGTTACAGTGTGTATGGTAACACCCATTGTTTCATGTTCTCTGTGTATATAAGATCTCCCCACTGTATTTTCCACTACATGCATCCAATAAAGTGAGCTGTAGCTCACAAAAGCTTATGCTCAGATAAATTTGTTCGTCTCTAAGGTGCCACACGTACTCCTTTTCTTTTTGCAGATACAGACTAACACGGCTGCTACTCTGAAACCAGAAGTTTATGGACTCCCAGAGCATGTTCCTCACCATCTTGGCAAATAGCCATTGACGGACCTACCCTCCATGAACTTCTCTAATTCTCCCTTGAATCCAATTATACTTTCGGCCTTCACAACATCCCTGGGCAAGGAGTTCCTCAGGTTGACTGTGCATTGTGTGAAGAAGTACTTTCTTATGTTTGTTTTAAATCTGCTGCCTATTAATATCATTGGGTGATCCCTGTTCTTGTGTTATGTGAAGGGGTAAATAACACATTCACTTTCTCCACAGAATACACTTTATAGACCACTATCGTATCCCCGCATAGTCATCTCTTTTCTAAACTGAACAGTCCCAATCTTTTTCACCTCTCCTCACATTAAATTTGTTCCATGCCCTTAAACATTTTTGTTGCCCTCTCTATACTTTTTCCAGTTCTAATATATCTTTTTTAAGATGGAGAGACCAGAACTGCATGCAGTATTCCAGGTGTGGGTGTACCGTGGATTTATATAGTGGCACTATGATACTTTGTCTTATTATCTATTGTTTTCCTCATGGTTCCTAACACTGTTAGCTTTTGACTGCTGCTGCACATTGAGCAGATGTTTTCATGGAACTAGCCATGATGATGCCACAATCTCTTTCTTGAGTGTTAACAGCTAATTTAGACCCCATCATTTTGTATGTATTGTTGGGATTATGTTTTCTAATGTGCATTACACAACACTGAATTTCATCTGCCATTTTATTGCCCAGTCATCCAGTTTTGTGAGATCCTTTTGTAACTCTTCACAGGGTATATTTAAAGAAAGACAAACCTGGTCTCTAGGACTCTGTGAGGTGGGAAGGTCCCAGAACCTAGGCTCCAGCCTGAGCCTAGAAATCTACACAGCAATGAAACTTCACCACAGCCAGAGCCCCATGAGCCCAAGTCAGCTGGCACAAGGCAGCTGTGGGTTTTTCTTTGCTGTGTAGACATACCCAGTCAGCTTTGCACTTAACTATCTTTAGTAATTTCGTATCATCTGCACACTTTGCCACTTCAGTTTACCTCCTTGTCCAGATCATTTATGAATATGTTGAACAACACCGGTCCCAGTACAGATCCTTGGGGAAACCCTGCTATTTACCTGTCTCCACTGTGGAAACTGACCATTTATTCCTACCACTGTTCCCGCGCACACAGCGAAACTGAAACACCGTGTGCACAAAAGTTTTCACAGAAGCACAACAATTTGCACAGAACAAATTTTTTGCACACACGGCCTGTCAAAAATTAGAGGGAACATTGATTCCTACCCTTTGTTTCCTACCTTTTAACCACTTACTGATCTATGATAGGCCCTTCCCCCTCTTATCCCATGGCTGCTTACTTTGCTGAAGTGCCTTTGGTGTGGGATCTTATCAAAGGCTTCCTGAAAGCCCAGATTCACTCTATCCACTAGAGATCACCCATGTCCACATGCTTGTTGACCCATAATTCCCCTTTACAAATGTAGTGAGACTCTCCCCCAACATATTGTGTTCATCTATGTGTCTGATAATTCTATTCTTTACTACAGTTTCAACCAATTTGACTGGTACTGAAGTTAGGCTTACCG